AATGTTCACTACGTCAGAACTTATTCAGAAAAGGTGTTTCCATCCCCTATTAAGAGCTTTAACTCTTTGATTTCCTTTAATCTTTTCTAATAGGATACAAAAATGCACATTAAAATATGTTATGGCTAATACCTTTGTATTTAAATAGTTTAACATTTTGGTTTATTTTCCTCTTTCAGAGGTGAAAACACTGATACCAATCTGTTTTTTAAGCTGTCAACACCAATAAAGGACCTCGTTTTAAGTGTAAACTGAAACTGCATTACAACAACAACAACGTCTGAAGGAAAATCTGTTGAATCTCACAAGTTCCTTTTAAAAAATCTGCATATTTTTTGGGTGAAAATTGATGAAAACGGTTAATAATGAACCTCGTGTCGTTTTTAGTTAATACACAATTAAAACCCAAAAGCTGTCGTGTCCAAGTCTGCATTTCCATCTTTCCTCAAAGTGGACATATTCCAAAATATCTCTTTACTTTTTACTTCATTTTCTTTATACTTTGTTTCCTTTCTTGTTCTCTTTTCCTGACAGGATCCAAAATTACACCCTCTTTCTCTTCTTCCAGTGCCGTGCCCTCTGCTAACAATGTCCACAAAAACTACGCACGCACACACACTCCAGAGTACAGATGAAAGGCTCGGCCCTAATGACAAGGTACCCTGTCCACTTAATACTTCAAAGATTGAGCTTGGGGGGGAGGGTGGCGGGGTGGGCACGATACCCCCGTCCTGCCCCTCCCATATCCACCACAATTAGCCGAAGCCTGAACCAAACCAGGACCAGCCTGAATCCACAGAACCTCCATCTGCATCCAGCCTCCGAACACAAACAGAGGCAGGAAAACACTGAACTGTGGACATGGAGATACACAAACACTGGTCACACACACACACGGAGATACACAAACACTGGTCACACACACACACACACACACACACACACGGAGATACACAAACACTGGTCACACACACACACACACGGAGATACACAAACACTGGTCACACACACACACACACACACACACACACACACACACACACACACACACACACACACACACACACACACACACACACACACACACACACACACTAAATTACATGTAAATAAACAGAGGAGGAGGTTAGATTTATTCTGTTATTCTTTGTTCTTTTTACTGTTTTACTAACATTTTTCTCATGTGGAAATCGACTGTGAAGCACAAATTTGCTGTCACGTGTAAACACATGAATTTAAAGCGTCACAGGTAACACAAACTGTAGCTATGAGCTTAAATACAACGACAGCTGATACACAGATACACAGAGCTACAACGTGGGAGAAACTGACCACTGGAGGCAGAATCTCTCTGTTAAAGCGTCATGTAAAGCTAAAGTTAAAAAAGTAGGAAGTTTGTGGGTTTACAGGTGGATTTTGTTAACTTTAGACAGAACCAGGCTACAGCTAACTGGTAATAGCTACAAATTCCTCGTACAGACATCCCCAATTGTGTTTCACCCTTTTGCATTTGACCAATCGGGTATTTTTTTTAAATGGTCTCCTGAGATCATAAACTTCTCAATAATATGGCAGCACAATCCTAAAGACAGACACAAACTCTCAGGGGAGTGAGCCGCTAACCTCTAATCAGACAGCTCCCTGGTGAGATCAGCCTCCAGTCCCACCGGCCAACGATTAAACCCTCAATCGCAGCCGTGTTTCATTTCTTCTTTTTGTCATCGGCCACACATAAGATAAGCCTCGTGATAGGCCGACTTTAAACGAGGATGACTCAAACTAACATCACTCCAAACTGATTTTTTCCCTCTTTTTAAAAAACACATTTACAATTAACATAAGAGCTTGTGTTTCAGAGCGCTGTGATTCATCGCAGTTGGGTAATTGTGGCTCCTCTCACTGTTAACCTCGACCCTGTTGTGTTGTTCCCATGATGAAATGAGGTCAGCGGCATTATTGGGGGACGTTTTCGTCGGGTTAATGGGTGGTTTGACCTGAGATATGGGTGTTTCAGGGGGAGGGCATGTTTTCACAGAGACCAGGAAAGTTTCAGATTTGCATTTTGTATTTAACTTGATTACTGATGTAATATGGTGACTGAGTTTTCTAAATGAAGCACCACACGATTTACATTTCAGCCGTTGAGTGGAACTTAACTTAAAAGCATCTTTACTATTATCGTTAACTGTATTGGATTAACATAAAATCCACTTGATCATAGATTAACACGTTTTTATTGTTTTTGTTCATTTTGAAGTCCATATATCACATCATGACCACGGATGTTCTCTGTTAAGGGACATTTGCACGTTTAAATCAGAGACAAAAACTAAAAAAATGCAGTTTATAATCATCCTCTCCCTCTTCTCGTCTAAAGTTTTCAGTTTCCATATCAAGGAAATTGGTTTATAGAAAAAAATAAAGTCTGTTGTCCCTTAATTGCATCTGGGGAATGTGAACAGCAGTAACAAGATCTTATTTTGTTAAATTATGTTCATTTGTGCTCAAGAGTAACAGCTAAATCACTCAAACTTTACCCTCTTAAACTTAGGCTACGTAACATGTTACATAAATGACCACGTCTATACATCAGTAAAGGGAAGGAAGCTGCATATTTTAGCCTTTTATTTAAGCAGATAAGTCAATTGAGAAGCAATTCTCATTTACAATGACGACCTAATATATCAATAATTGGATGGATTGCCATTAAATGTGTTACAGACATTCAGGTCCTCGTCAGGATGAACTGGAATAACTTTGGTGATCTTTTATTGCACCAACAACATTAATGGCAGTGCTGTTTGAAATGTTGGCATGCTATAGTAAAATAGTGAACGTTGTAAACATTATACCCTGTCGGCATGTTTGCATGTTAGCATACAGACATTAGCATTTAGCTCTAAGCCCTCCTGTGATGAAGCACAGCCTCCCAAAGCCAGGAGCATGTAGCACAGATTACAGACAGTTAAATTATACACCACGTTACTTTAAAGTGTATTCACCAGCCTCTTCAGCGCCGCTGAAAGCCAACGCTAAGACGCTCTTAACAGCTTCCACTTGAACTCAGCCTTCAAAGCCGTTTTTGTGTAAAATAAAATCAGAGTGTTTGCAGAAAAACTGAAAATCGGGACCAGGTCAGTATTCACGGCCACAGAGAAGCTTCATCAGGGGGCTCAAACGTGTGACCTTTAAGCTCCAGGATGTTCTGCAAACATTAGACCACTTCACCACCTCTTCCCTCACAACATTCATCCATCAAAACACACTTCTCCTCCCACCCCGAACCGCTCCCGACTCCCCGTCCTCCCACTCAGAGCCGTAAAAACGCAGGTTTTCCTCATCAGGACAGATGTAGCTGCACGGCACGATTACCTCGCATCCATCAACACCTCCGCACACCCAGATAAGGAGGGGCGTGGGCGCTGAACACCCTACTCATGTAATTAAGTAATTATAGGGAACGCATGATGGATCCCCATATTTGTTTTATTTTTGCAACTGTTAATAAGTCCCACTGACAGAGGGTTTGATCACTCCTGCGGTTTGTTTGCTTTTCTTTTTTCTTTTTTCATCCCAACCGCAGCAGAAACGTTCAGTTTGTTCTCGTGTTTGGTTCATTTAGGTTCACGTTACCTGGCTACAAGAGCCTGTAAACAAGTCACAAAGATATTTTATATATTTTTCCACAAATCTCCTGAAAACACCAAAACCAACAACAAGTAATTGTGTGTGTATTCAAAGCCTGACGTCTCTTCTTCCTGTCGTCCAAAAACTATTAAAAACACATCAATGAGCCACACTGGGTGACGTCTACTGTTGACAAAAATATAGAATAAAACCAGACTTATCCTTTAAGTAGTTGATTGATTCAACCACATTCATTGTTCCTGTGTGGTGGTCATGAGCATTAAAAACACATGAAGAAGAAGCTGAATACGAGCATCAGTCACACTGCTGTGACAGCAAGAGTCCAAGTTCCAAGAACGTGTTCCAAGTCAAGACCAAGTCGAAAGTCAGGACCAAACAGGTCCTTATGTATCTGCTGTCTGCGCTGCCACATGTACCTTTATCTCCTGCAGCAACGTTGGCTGCTCTCCGACAGATTCAAAGTACATCCATTGTTAGGAAATGTGTTTTTATAACTTAGATTTTTCATTGAGCATGCAGAGGACATAAATTCTTTAAGTCTTGGCACAATTATTTGGTTCACCTGACCACACTTCCAATAACAACTGAACAATAAACTGACACACCACCTCTCCAGAGAGGCACCAATACACAAAACAACAGCAACAGCAACTGTCAGTATTTGGGCACAAATCCACATCTCAAACGCCTCAAGGGTTAAGAAACCCTGCTCCTGAACGTCTCCCACACATTCCTTCCCTGTCTGTAGTGTACTAAAGAGGGTAAAATATAATGAGGGATGACAAATTTCACACGCAGCTCAGCCAATTTCACTCTGGTGCAGAGGTAATTACGACAATTAAACCTGAGAGAGCATTCTTTAACTTGATTATGGGTTATTATGGTGATACAGTAGGTACCAGACGCAGTCACATCTTAAAAGGGTAATGCTGCTTTTATAAAGATGTTTGCTCAATCAAACAATATAATGCCTCAAATGTTGTCTTAAACACACTTGATTCTCCAAATTGCTCGACTCCAACTATTGTGCGTTTAGTCAAGCTTTGCTTAACATCACTCAGCTTGGATCACACTGATGACACATCAAAATGCAACGAGCGAACAGATGACATCTCTGAAAACAAATCTAACAAAAACAGAGCACGGAAAGAAACTTGAGAGCTATTTTTTGCCTACAAATGAGATTATTGTGCCCCAGAAATCAGCAATCTGCGACAAAAACCACAAAAAACCTCCAATCTAGTTAATCTGATTCCTGGTAATTTGATTCCAAATGCGATTGTTCTGCCTAAAAATGAGGCGTCTAGTATAATATAATATAGACAGATGGAATAACTTCAGGCTGCACTCACCGTTCTCCTTCTCGTCTCCGATGCAGCCGCTGATGGACTCCGGGAGGCCGAGAGTGGCCGCCGTCGGCATCGTTCCCAGGATGGACGCCAGCGACGGGGCTTTTCTCTTTGGGACGCCATCCTCTTCCAGCTCTTGGTTCTCCTCTTCCTCCTCCGGTCCCCTCTGTTCCAGTTTTATCAGAGCCTCCAGTGTGAGCTCGTCGAGGTCTTTGCCAAAGTGCTTGGCCACGGCCTGAAGCTCGTCTTCCTCTTCTGCGTCCTCGTCATCTTCCATCTTAGACGACGTGGAGAGGACTTCTTCGTTGTCATTTTCTACGTCTGGGATGAGGACAGACAGTTTGATACGGAGTTAATGGGGCGTTTAATTGGTCCCTTTAAGGACAGCCACTTTGAAAGAGACACCAAAGGTCAGGATCAGCTACAGATCAAGACTGGAACTGGTCTGTCTTAAACACATCATCAGGAGAGACACTTGAGAGCTTGAAACCAGCAAATACTTATATCAAATGAACCAAAAGCTCGGAATTGAACAGCTTTTCACTTAGGGTGGGTCATTACATTCATAGTGAACAACATGGACAGTTTAAACTCAACTAACAAACTCAGGGATCCATAATCATGAAAATCACATCTCAAACTGTAAAAGATTGTAAAAATGGTAGTCGTGGTAGTTTCATACTGTCTGATCCAAGTGAAAAAAGATACAACCTGTTAATTAGTGAGATTTAAAAGTGTTGGTATGCAGATTTTTTCTTATCTTATAAGACAGAGCCACACTGTGGGACCATAATGTGTAAAAATAGATTTCTTTATTCTGCGTACTGACTTATCTTTGAGTGTTTTAACCCTACAGTGAACTGGAAACAGCAGATTATGCTACATTAGCGCCACAGCAGCATGCCTACAATACTTGCACGTAGCTTCCTTAGCAGTGACGCTAGCTAGATATCACAGTAAGCGTTACTGACGTACACTTTACTTTAAGTGTTTGATCACCTAAGAATCTAACCCATAAAGTTAGTGAGTGCTACGTGTGCAGGGCTGTATCTATCGACTATTTTAATGATCAATTAATCTTTTTTTTATTTTTTTCCCAGTTATTAATCTATTAAATGTCAGAATATAGTGGAAAATACAAGTAATCACTACTTCCAGTAATTACACAGTTCACAGGCAATGTGTTGGTGCCAGTGCGAGCTAAAATGCCTCTTTTTAATGATTATAATACAGTTCGTCTCACCTTTACTATGTTGTGTCTTATTATGCGGTTAATGACTCACTGAGGATTAATAAAGCAGAACAAGGTTACAGTTTATGGTCAGGTTGTATAATTAGCTGGGTATAATTATATATGTATCAGAATTTCAGTTTCCCAATTAAAAATAATACAACGGAAACCAAAACGTTTCATTGACTTTAGTTCAGTCAAATAGTTTCGATTCCTAAAAAAAAAAAAAAAAAAAAAAACTACAAATGGTGATAAGTAATCACATCTCGACTAAATAATTGGGATCGTCCTCTCGCAGTCCTGGTATCTAATTAAATTGTGTCCTTTAATCAGCCATAATTAAAATGTCCTCACGCAGACTTTCAGCCCAACGAGTCAGAAAAAGAAACTCAGTTATCGTTTTGAGAAGAAACGAAATGCTGCCGGATCTGAAAGCGTCGCAGCAGCTGGAGGAGCAACGTGCCTGAAATCAGTGACAGCCTGCAACTCCCCTACTGTGTGAAAACAGGGGGATACGAGGAGTGTGTGTGTGTGTGTGTGTGTGTGTGTGAGTGAGAGAGAGAGAGAGACAGACAAAGACAGAGGGCCAGAGATAAAGAGCCAAAGGTAGAAACAGATAAAGAGGAACAGTGACAGGGAGTGCACTCTGATGTGTGCTGTGTCTCGTGGGTGGGCTTGTGTGTGTGTGTGTGTGTGTGTCTGTGTCTGTGTTTGCCTGTGTGTGTCTGTGTGTGCCTGTGTGTGTTGTGTGTGTGTGTGTGTGTGTGTGTCTGTGTTTGCCTGTGTGTGTCTGTGTTTGCCTGTGTGTGTCTGTGTGTGTGTCTCATCCTGCCTGATTGACTGACAGAGTGATAAATAAAAGCATCATCACACATTACCGTCGCAGTGTTTCCCCCTGTAGCTGTTAGTATTTGGGCGTCCCACAGCTGCCCGTGTTATTGCTGCGATATTCACTTTAATGCTGCTGTTCAAATATCATGTTACAAAGTTATATTCAAATAAAAGTGTGCAGCGACACTGGCAGCCAGACGAGGCTTTAATGCTTATTACTCACCAGAAAACCAAATTAGGCTGATAGATAATAAGCTATTCTTAGATGCTAACCAGTACTGGGGTCAAAAGGGAGATAAGATAAAACACTTATTGATCCCAGGACGGGAAACTCAGTTAGAGTTAGAAAGAGATAGAGAAAGTAAAAAAATGAATAAGAGGTATATAAAACTTAAAGTAAGATAGAAACTATAGAAGAGCAATTAAAGACAAAATAATATACAGTGTGATTAATAGAGGTAGTGTAGTGTATGTAAACAGCGTACAGCAAGTAAATATAAACTGATTAATCATACTCAGTTTGTATTAATGTAGTATATTATGTAATAAAATGGTATAAGATATTAACATAATATAACAATATACTATGGGATATAACTATAACTATAACTTATGTTTCAGTTAGCTCACGTATTTCATAACACTGATCATGTTTGTGTGACATCCTAACATTAGCATGCCAACGTTAACCAACAAATTCACTGCTGTTTTGTGTCCTTATTAATGTAATAAGACTCATATCAGTACATCAACGTCATACAAGTGTCACTGTGTCAACTACTGACTGATTTATTTTCAGGGAACATCGAATATCTATGAATTTCTGCAGCGTAACATTGTTGTTTGTTGGCAAAGGACAGTCAAAAGACTACAGATACTATTTTTGTGTTGCATTGTGGGTATTCTTCCAGACATATACTGTATTTTAACACTCAAATAAAAAGCTGAGGAGTAAATAGGGTGCACTAGGTAGCAAACAGGCAGTGATTTCAGACAGAAGATCCCTGGACAGGTTGTTTCTAGATCTGTTGGGGACTTTTATTGCCCTCATCAGACAGAAGCAGCTGAGGAGAGACTGAAAGTGGGGAGAGAAAGAGGAGATGACATTCAGCAGAGGGCTGCAGATTGGAATCGAACAGAAGCTGCATAAAGGGACTCATGAGCTACCAGGACTTAAGATTTCTATCCCTGTCGTATTGATGTGTATACCTTTTATTGTTAAATGTGCATTCTTGAGTATAAAGTCCATACTGTTAAAGGTTAGGTGTGCAGAGACTGTTTACATCCAAACATTACATCCTAAAATCAGAGAGTTAGTTTGTTTTTTTTACTCAACTACAGTGAATGGAGAGAAGCTAACAAGGAGGCTATGAAACCCTTCACAAACGCTGTATGGACACAGAGCAAGTAACGCAGCCACCGTTTGATCGGTTTTAGGTTAGCTAACTCTAGAATATAATGTGATATAAAGCGTTGAGACACAGCTCTGGATGAGCCTTTTTACTAACACTCCTTCCTGCTCCGTACCTTCCTTGGTGTAGGCGGCGTAAACTCCTCTCAGTTTGGGTCTACAGGTCTGAAGCTCTGCGTCTATCTCATCCTGGTAGCTCTGGATCTCATCTGTTGAAGATAAAAACAATCTATAACCATTCGGGGATCAATAATCTGACATGAAGTAGTGAAAGGTACAGATGCACAAACTTTTCTCATGTCCCTAAAAAGATTGTGTGACACATGTAGGGAAGAGAAATGATTGTTCTTTTGTGTCCTTAGTGAGCCTGTTCTTCTGAAGCTTTGCTTTAAATCACGTCTGCCATAATTACAATATAATATGTTTCTACTGTAACATAATGCACGACTAATTACATGTCGTGCTGAAACTAAATCATGTAAAAACACTGGGAGCAGTTTCCTCTCAGCGTTCTGCAGCGTTGTAGTTATTTCCCTCCTTCAACCACATCCAACACTGATCTGCATTTAGTCAAGGAGCAAGAAAACAAGACAGAGTTACAGAACTTTGTCTTTCTCAGCGCTGTGAATTCATTTAGCCTGAGAGTCGAGATGTGCCTTTGGTGATGAGGAGATCGCGCTCATACCTTCAACGTCATCCATCTTTTTCTTCAGCTCAACCTCCAGCTAGAGGGGAGGAAGACAAAAGGAGAGAAATTGAATGAAAGCCTTTTTTCCCCCCCAAATGCAACAGTGAGTCCGGGGGTTAAAACATCTCAGAATAAAAAGAACATCAGAACACAGAAGGGCTGTGGGTGGCTGACAGCGGCCGCCTTTTCTTACAGCTGTACATTTTTTTCGTGGAAATAAAGCACGAGTTTGATTCTGTTCTGTGCGACGCAGCTGAAGTACAGAACACACTGAGTGGCAAACAGATCCACAGTCAGCTCTTCGTTTCTGGACTGTAAAAGCAAAAAGGACATCACTCTTCTGTAGTGTTGTTTTTGGCGGCCTGTTTTAATTTTAGTTTTAGTCTAGTCTTTGTGTCAAACTGTCATTTTAGTTTTTATTAGTTTTAGTCACGTTTATACTCTTTTTAGTCTAGTCAAGTTTCAGTCGACTAAAAGTCTGAGCATTTTAGTCTTATTTTAATCAGAATTATCCAAGACTATTTTCGTCTAGTTTTAGTCGACGAAAACTGATGACATTTTAGTCTAGTTTTAGTCAATGAAAATTGTATTTTAGTCTCTTTTTAGTAATGCAATTCTATTTAACCCAGTTAATATAGTACAAGTACCTAGTATAGTATAGACAAAACCAAAATGTTCTTTAAGTCACCCATTTCACAAGTCAAACCAGGTTATCTTATTATTATATTATTGTTACCTTATAGACTTAAGAATACATTCAATTCCAGACACGGAAGACGCTCTGAAATGAATTTACAACATATTTATTTTACCTACCAAACATGTACACACAAATTTAAATAAAATAAATAAAATAGCTTCAAATGACAATGCCAGAAAAAACTGACATTACATTCAAGTTTAACTTAAAGAGAAACAAGGTGCTTGAATGCTCGAGCTACAATAACATAACAAAAAGTCAAATAATTACTAACATTAACCCACCAGCGCATCTTCTAAATAATGCTGCGAGTGGGATTGGGAAGCTAAGCTAGCTTTCACTGTTTTCGAACATTTAATTTTGCAAACCACATTTAGTCCCGTTTTTATTCATTAACAATATTGCATTATATATTTGATTATAGTTTTCTCACATGACCACCATTTACGTTCTCTCGTCTCATTTCCGTCACGTGATAAAGGTTCGTTATGACAATTTTTTTTATTTTTTTTAAAAAAAAAAATACTTTTTTTTTTTGGTGTCTTCTAGAAACTGGGGTTGGACGATTGGACGGATATATCAGCGATCGGCGGCTGTCTGAATCCATCTTCTTGCTTTAACAAACTGAAGAACTTGCAGAGATCCAAAACGTTGCAGCAAACCTATTGTTGAACCATCTGATCACTTGTTTACACTTTATTGTCATTTTAATGTCAATCAAAAAAGGGAAATGGTTCCGGAATCCCTAGTGTTTACCCTACGATTTCATGTCAAAATGGCTCTTAAAAGCCACTAACATCAACTGCCTGCACGTTTGAACATTTAATTCACTGTGCCGCTCAAAGGATACCAACAGCTACCGGCAGCTTTTAAGGTGGAATGTTTTCTTGAATGTTACTCAGTGGATGAGTTCTTTTAGTTTTTATTGGCTTTCTTACGTGACACACACTTTAGTGATGATTGAAACACTTAAAACTGGACGTTTGAACTTCAAGCCAACATAGGTCGTTCCCGTGCGGCACTACACCTTGTATCACGTTTAATCTGAAATATAAGTGTCAGACTATTTCTGACCAACATCTACATGAGCAGTGGTCGATACAGCTCACACTCTGCTACCTGTGTTAAGTACGTGGACGCAGAGAACAGTGATCCATGACAGTTTTACTTTAGAGGTTAATACCCTTCATTAATTATTGGAGAACGCCCGGGGGTTGCATGTAATCATCAAGAAAATATAACATGAAATTTTAATATTCCCGGAGGAGGCAAATGGGTAATTTCAGAAGCATTGGAATTTATCAGAATTGCTTAAAAAAAAAAAACTGAAGGTGTATTTTAAATGAGCTTGTTGTTCCTGAGAGTGTGTGAGGTAAAATCCACACCTGGTGGGCTTTGTTCCTCCTCAGTCCCTCTGTATAGCAGGGCGGGTCACACTCTTGGTCCAGGTCCACCTTCATGAACTCTTCGATGGTCAGCTGACTGGTGGGCGTGTCCTCAAACTCTACCAGTCTAACAGCAGGGACAACGAAGAGCACAAACTAATTAACACCAGGTGTTTAACACATTAATAATGAAGCTCCAGCTCACTTATGCACCATTAATTTGTTTGACTTTGTGTGTAGGAAATCCTCCATCTGCAGTACTTTTACTGTTGAACACGTTAAAAACATTAAAACCTTTAACCGCCCACCTTTTTCTTAGTGTGGTTTCACACACTTTCACAACGTTGACGATTTCTTTGATGGTGCGGCGAAAGTCGTACATATGAGCGGCAACAAGAAGAGCTGAAAACAGAGAAAACACAATTTGATAATAATAATAATAATAATAATAATAATAATAATAATAATAATAATAAACTTTATGTACACAGCACTTTTCTTAATGTTATATAAAAACTGCGTTCAGACTGCCGGCCAAAGTCACCTAAATGTTTTTTTTTGCTCACAACTGACTGATTTTCTCTTGTCAGTGTGAACGGCACAAATCACACTGAATCTGATCTTTTTAATTCTGATTTGGCGTGTAAATCCGATTCAGGTCTGGTATGTTTTGCAACGTGATCTCAGTGTGAACACTTTTACATCACTCTATGCAGACATTCATCAAACAGGTTACTTCAAAACCGCCACCTGTACACACTGGAATTTGATATAGACCACGTTTTTAAAAAAAAATAAGGCAACAGCCAAACAAAGACAATCAGGTCTGAGCAATAAATCAGACTAGAGCTCCAAGGCTTGCAGTGTGAACGTGGCCTGCTTCAGCAGATAAAAACAACACAGATGAAGAAGAGCCAAACAGAGCAAACACAGGGATCACAAAACATCTGGCGATAAAATAAAGTTAAAAAATGTTAAATGGCAGGAAACCCAGTAATTAATTTTATTTCCTATAAACAGGGTTTATTATACAGGTTTCATTAAGTAACATCTAACACTTTTTATGAACATTACTAATGCAATTTAAGACCTACTTCATGTCAGGAGTTATCTAGCCCTGAATGACGATCAAACACGGCAGAAGACAACAACCAAATATGTCGACAGGAAAAGATTTCTGGTTTACATGAGTGACTGTGTCAAAGAAACACCAGATTATGATGAAAATACAGCAGTTTTCAATGAGTAGGATATTTTAATTCTTGCATGTTCCTAACTTTGAAAACTTAAGTTAAAATGAAGCATTTTCCAAACTTTCAAGACTTTGTACGAACCCTGTATATTGATACACACACACTAATGTACACACATATCAAACTCAAGGCTCAAACGTGGGCAACGTTGACGTGACTGAACACACAAATAGGATGTTTGCTTTCAGCCGCTTTCTCTTGCGTGCACCTTGAAGACCGGCGAGGACAGAGGCGGCAGGACGGGAGCACCTCAGCTGGCGGAGCCAACACAGTCCGCCCACACGCACACAAACACAGTTTTAAAGAGGAGTAACAACAACACAAATATTATGCAATGAGTTGCAGCGCGAGCCTTGAAGGGGAACAGTTATATAACCGTCATTAGAGTTGCCTCACTCAAGAGCCTGTTAAAAGATAGATGCTTCTACTTCTACATGCACACTTCTAACAGCCTTTAGGACTGAAGTGGTGGCTTTTAGCTGCGCTGAAGACTCTCTCAAACATTTTACCGCTGTTACTTTGGAACCACATGACTTCAAAGTTGCTTAATGCAGAGTTAACTTTGTCTTTAACTCATTAAAAGTAATCCATGATGCAATTTCAAAAATCTTCTACCCGAAAGAACTTTCATTTTTTGCAGATGCATGTTTCTGGTTCGTCAATAGCAATATTTGCATCATATTTGGGAACAAACTTCTTCCATGTGACTGTATCCCTCTCAATGATTTATGATAAGCAATTAATTATTCAGGCAATGCAGCAGAGGAACAGAGAAAGATGAAAATTGAAACCGTGAACGTAAACATGCAGGGAACAGAGGAAGCAGCTGATTCGATTTCAGGACGTCTAAGCTGGTGATGCGTCAGAGCAAAGACTGTATTCAGGGTGACACCCAGCTGTTTACGCACAAAGAGGATGAAGGGCAGGGAGCTAAATCAACACCAGACAGTATGTGGTGAGTTTAGGCAGGTGCTGGCAGGTTTGCCTCACCCACACATCTCTTTGGCAGATAACCAACACAGTAAATGCATTTGGTAAGCCAGCTGGGAGCGAAGACTGGGAGACCAATGTCAGGATTTACCAGCTACTGAACCGGTTTGTGGACAAACCCTCCCTGTTCAGAGTGTTATAAACCATGCTTGGCCTCGGGGTTAATGTGCATCAAGAATTTTACATTATTGATCTGTTTAAAGAAATTCTCACTGGACTTGCCTCCTACATGAAGAGGTCAGAGGTCAGGTTGAGCTATATGGTAAGAGTAGAGCTGAACAGGACATACACATTTGGTTATCCAACTGGAGACTGGTAAATGGAGCAGTTGCAAAAGGCATGAACTTATTTTAAGACTGTTTAAGAGCTTTTTTTAAAACGGCAATTAGAGTAGAAAAATGGCTTATATAATCCTTCCAAAAACTGAAAATTAAAGGAGCTGTTGACCCATATAAAGTTGGTCTGCATGATTAGTTACATTTCTCACCATAAGAACATTTTTAAAGACATTTAAAACTTAATTTTGGGACCATGAAGGACTTTAGAAAACTTCAGAACACATAATTTCAGATATTTAGGATTTAACCAGGACACGGTTTTCCTGTTGCTCCCATTTCAGTGTCCTTGCAAAGTTTAAATAGACGCGTTTCCTCTGACAGTCAATGTGTCCATGCAGGAAGGGGGCAGAAAACTCACTGACACAATGTCCTGATAGCTCAACTTGCTAAAAACCAATGAAGCTATTATTTAGAGGTAGATTTGGATGCTGCACTCGTCTTTGGATTATCAAAATGTCTCTCACCGCTCTGATTGACATCTGTCCTCTCCGGCTAGCTAACAGCAGTAAAAACACTCACCCAGACCACACAAAGTTAGCTCTTGCAGAAGCCTCCTCATCCTGGTTATTAATTAGTAATGTAAACATGTAGAGCATGAACGTCCTGCTGTTTGCCATCAAAATATACCAGACACCAGATTCATGCCAGATGTTGTATGTTGGAACCCTACAGAGCGGGACAAACCTTTGCACTATTCATTAATCTTAAAATAGTTGTTACTTATTCACCAGTTTCTGTGCTAAATTAACCACCACTTTATTCAAATCCAGGAATCCGACCAGGTCACTAGATGTTAATAGCTAATTCAGACAGCCCTTTCTAATGGGGAACTAAAGTCATTCTATCGCTCTCTCCAAAGCCACCAGACTCTAACTATCCCTACTTTAGGGACTTTAACAACAACAGTAATTCTCCCCCTCACAGAATTCAGGAGTTGCTCGTGTACCGCTGCCTCGCTCAGCTAATTAACACGTTGCTTCGGATCCTAACTAAACCATTAACACACCAAAGTCACACATTCACATAAACAAACTAACAGATCGGGGCAGGGGTAGACCAGCAAGTCCCCTGTTCTGCAAGTCTAAAATTGCTGTTTTTATCAAAGGAGTCTGGTGGTTTTCAAAACAGCTTCAGCTCTCTGTCAAACAGCAAGGTAGAGTAGTTAAAATATTCTAAATATAGCCTACACTTAAACAGATACTGATTCTGTGTGGTGGCTAAAACATATTTTGTTGACTCCTCCGTCCACAAAGGTTTTGTATTAAACGACCGTCCCGAGACTCCCATCTGCTTCTCCAAACTGGGGTTTTCTCCTGTGGGTTATACACATACCGCCCCACTTCAATCCAGACTATCCCTTTAAAAAAAGCCACAAAAACAATTTCAATCACCCCGAGCTCACTCTGTCTTAATGAACATATACAGTACGACGGTTGTGTGTTACAGTGAAAATGGTCTGATTTGCATTTCATCATATTTTGCCGTCAAGTTCAACTTTCCTCACACTGATAAAATCACCGGTGTCCAAGTAAATCATGGAAGTAAACTTTCCAGAGTTAAATCCACTTATTTTCATCCGTGTTAGAGGAGCATGAGCTTGTCGTACTGTACGACCTGAGCTACAAATGCTGATGGTCACTGGGCTGCTTTTCAGGAGTATCTGAGGTTGAAGGGCACCTTGGTGTTAGAAGCCAACAGAGCAGAGAGCGTTAATCACTTTCTCTCCTCTGAGGACTGAATCCTCTGATGACAGCCTGCTGCGAGGAGCCTTCAGGGCTGCTGCCAGCCCCACTCACCTGAAATTAAAAAAAAAAAAAAACTCCACAGCACAGACAGCAGAGGCCCGACGCCACCTCGTCTCACGGTTACCTGCTCCACAGAGTCCCGACGGCCTTCGTCCCGTGTGCATCCAGTCCCTCTTCATCCTCTGCACCAGTCTCATCGCTGTCATGGAGACATCGTGGTTCTTCTCCCCAAATTCCAGCATCTGGGCAAAACGGGGAATGTACAGGCACGGGTCTGGATGAGACAGAAAGGTGTTTTTCTTTAAGTTTAGTCGCTCAAAAGAAAGATGGAAGTCCTTCCTTCAAAATCTGGAGCAGCACAAAACACTTTCCAGGATATTTGGCCATTTTAATCAATTTCCAGGTGTTTCCATTACTAGAAAACTAGTCTCTAAATATCCCGGTTTTACTGGGATTAATCAGATTAATTGATCACTTCAATGGAACAAAAACAGTACTTACTGCTAACGATCCCTCGACACTCCTGATGATACAAAATGTGTCTGAAATCTGAATTTTACTGCCCCCTATAGGGCTAACTTTTGGGACAAGTGAGTGAACTGGATGACTGGACGTCAGCTCATTTTCAAAGAACCTACTGTATGTAATCTGAAGCAACTGCAGCACACGACACGATTTCCATCGAGCTGTAATGATCGCATTCAGCTTTCGTCTCGTGTGTGATTAACTGGAGAGGGTAAATCTTGGCAGAGAGAGGGCACGAGTCCATCATGCTACACTTTCGGGGACTGATATCAGATCTGTTCTGGCTCTCCTACCCTGACTGCCAAAACTCTCTCCGGATGGCGTTTCAACCAAAACTCTGTCCAATAAACCGCCTGCTTGTGTGACTGTGATTTTTGTTTACAATCCCCGGTTCGTCTGTGTCTGAGCAGTAAACAAACCAAAAACTGTATTTTCTCCCCCCAACTCTGGTTCAGACCCCCCCCAAAAAAAACCAATGTTCTGTTTTTTTTAATTCATACAGATTAAAACCTGACTAGCACCTGTGAGCTTCCCAGTAAAACCAGTCTCCCACTGCTGGCTGCTAATTAGCTCCACTGGAGAACTTGAGGATTAGCATTTAGCTCAAGCGCTCCTCGAAGCAGCCTGTTTCTCATTCAGTGTCTCTGTCCAGATTTTCGCAGCTGGCGAAAGGATTTGAATGGGCAACTTTCCAATCACAAGCTCACTCCTCAAACCTTATTGCTGCTCAAATGTCTCTGAGAAACTCGCATGGTGAGCGCAGCTATCGTTAACTTTATGGAAAATACTCTAGATTCAGCTGGAGAGGAGAAAACTATCAGAACCACCTGCTTTTGCTATGAAACAGCCTGGCAGGTGGCCAGTGTCTGCCTGATGTCCTAGTGATTTTACCTTGCTAAGAAATCTAATTTAATGCTTTAAAATGAGGAGGAACCCTCTTTCCACTGTAGCCGGGAGACAAAAAGCAGAGTTTCGTGCCCCGGCCGTGACAGCGGAGTCGAATATCTTTGAAGTCGGTGGCTGCGTTTAAAGAGCAGTCCAGTGGAAAGCTGGTAGAGCCAGCTGGTAATAAGATCCAGGCTGATCCCTCCCCCTCCCCCCTCTGCATCATGTAATGATACGTCTGCAGAGCTCGCCATCACTGCTGCGAGTTCTACTGTCAGTAAACGCAGGCGAGACCTCCATAGAGAACACAGGCTGTTTAAAAGAAGAAGAAACTCAACCTCAGATCCTCGTTCTCTGTCGGGTGTAATCAACGTGCGGTGCTCGAGCGGCCCAGGAGTCCTCCTGTGATGGAGCGCTGTAGTTTGGACTTTTTTTTTTCGTGTACCCACTTTTCCCTTCGACCCGCCTCGCCTACTTCTACTTCTGTTCCCCTCATTCCCCCCAAAATGACTTGGACCACCCCCCGGGAAAGGGCCGTGAACTCGCTCCTTTCAATCAAAACGTGAGAGCAGGGTGGGGGGGGTGGGGGACGCATGAATAGCATTAGAAGTGTTATCATTCAGTTTGTGGGGGAAGCTGCGCCCTTTCCCTTCAAAACCCCAAACTGACTTGGCGCTGCAATGCATTCTGGTCTTTTTTTTTTGTTACTGTGAGTGTATAAATTGGTCTCTGAGTTTGCTTTTTCTCTGTATGGTTGTGCACAGTGTCAGCGCTCACTCATCCAACCCTCACTGAACACTGATGGGGGGTTGAGAGGAAACTCCTGAAGCTGGAGGAGAAATGTTTGGATGTGATGTCACTTTGTTTGTTTGGTCAGTGATCAACAGAAATAATAGTTTTCATTGATTTAGTGAAGCAATATTCAATGTTTTTGTCTGTTTGTTTTGGGGCTTTTTGCTTTTATTGGATAGCAAAGGGTCACAGGTCGGATTCGAACCGATGGCCGCTGCAGCAAAGACTCAGCTTTGGTAAGCGAGGCACCAGATCCACCAGGTGAGCTACCAGGACGCCTCCAGTTTAAGGTTATGGTCATTTTTATGGTCAAAGACTCTGCTGGCTTTTTTTGGGATTGTTGTGGCCTAAAACATCTGATTTCACTGCATTTTTTCTGAAAAACTGCACTCCACGTTGAGATGTTTCCTCTTTCTTTGCACTGAAATTGAAGGAGAAAGTGAAAAACTGCTCACTGCTTCTTATCATTCTTTAAAAATCAAAGGCAACTTGGCAACTAAATGTAAACCTCGTCAAACACTAACAAGGACTGCTTGTAGAGGCTCTGCTTGTGTTAGCATGTCGCTACAGCCTCAAACTGATCACACTGATTGGCAGGCACCGCTAAATAATCCCAGTTTTTACTAAATGTAACTGTAATCTGATTACAACTTTTTCCCCTGTAATTGTAGTGGATTACAGTTACCTTTTTTAAAAATCCTGATTACGTTATTTAGCTACATGTAATCCATTACTACCTATTTCTGTTAAAAAATGCAGTCAGTAACCTAATCCAAGTAACACTTGTAAAGTACTTAAAGTAACTTTACTTTAAAAGTACTTTTTGTTACTTTTAGAATACCTCAACAAAAAAATATGCAATATAAAACCAAGATAAATGTCAGTAAGAAGTTTTGTGTATTTTATAAAGACAACAGAACAATATAATGTAATCCTGTTAAATAACCCCCAGTTTCACTAAATGTAACTAAATGTAATCAGATTACATCTTTTTTCCCCTGTATCTAATGGATTACGGTTAACCTTTTTTGTATCCCGAGTACGTAACTTAGTAACAGTAGTTAGTTTACAGTTAGTGACCTAACCCTTTAACGCACAAACAATCAGAGTTTTCTCCTCCACAGGTCGACATAAACCCATCAGAGTTCCCTGGTTTCAACTTCCTGTTTCTGGGGTTATTTCTCGTCATTAGGCCGAGCTGGAGGGTCAGATTAATCCTTTTATTTTCATCCTACCATCAGGTCACATATATAAGGGCGGTGTTTTGGTGAAGGAATAAAGTATTAATAAAGGATTTTGTGATTTATAGATGAACACAGATCACATAAACAGTGTCGGGGAAATATCACTCCACCTTAGTGATAATAATAATAATAATAATAATAATAATAATAATAATAATAATAATAATAAAATCTGAGTTTTCTCCTCCACAGGTCGACATAATGACACATGAAGCCATCAGAGTGGTGTCAAACTCTTCCCCGGTCTGTAACACCGTGTTTCGGGGCCTCATTACGGGTGCCGGGCCGCAGGGTCATATTCAACCGACCTTCTTCCTTTTTTATAATTTTATTTTTATCCGACCCGCCGGGTCTAATCAGCGGGGCCGGAGGCGGAGCGGCTCGGGCCGGTGACGCACTCTGCGGAGCTGCTCTGTGTGTGTGTGTGTGTGTGTGTGTGTGTGTGTGTGTGTGTGTGTGTTCGGGGAGGGGGAGGGGCTTCTGCGCTCCTGACGTCACCGCGGAGCGTCAATCTGATTGGTCCTCAGCGAGCCCTGGGCGTCATAGGAGATCACGACGAATATAAATACAAAAAAAAAAAAAAAACAGGAGCGAGAGAGGAGAGAGAGAGAGGGAGGAAAAAATGAAGCAGACCTTAAAAACTCCCCACAAATGAGTGTTTACCTCGGATGAGTACGGCGGCCGCAGCGGAACACCGGAGCTCGGTTCGTGTCGGTCGACGGACACACAGAGAGAGAGAGAGAAAGGGAGAGAGAGAGAGAGAGAGTAAAAGAGGGTGAACATATCCGAGGGGATTAACGTACAACAGGACTCCAACAGTATCCGGATTACTCGCTGGAGAGGAAAGAAAAAAAGGGAAACCGAGCGGACATTTCTCGGTGCAGAGAGGATGAGGTGACCGCCAGGAAACGGGAGGAAAAAGTGGTCGAAGTTGGACGCGGAGGAGGAGGAGGAGGAGGAAGAAGAGGAGAACCGGGGCCTGCAAGGAGATTTATTTATTACACGTTTGTCGTGTAAAAAAAAAAAAAAAAAAAAACTTGGCTTTTTTTTCCGATGCTGTTAAAAATAAAATAAGAAGCGTCGGTGTGTGTGTGTGTGTGTGTGTGTGTGTGTGTGTGTGGTTGGAGCCGAACTATCTCCGCCGTACGGTTCCTCCGACACCGACTGGCTGCTCTCCACCGGATACTAACAGCGCAGGAGACCGACCGGCTGCTTGTGCCGATGCCAACGGCAGACTGCAGGTTGCTCCATCATGGCCGGATCATGAGGTGTCTGACTTATCTCCTCCTGCTCCCAGAAACGCTGAAAAAGTCCAAGAAGGTCGGCAAGCTCCCGGTCCGGCTGCCGGTATGTTATGAGATCCTGACTCTGTCCCTGAAGAAGAAGCAGCAGCAGCAGCAGCAGCAGAAACAGAAGGAGGAGAAGATGGCTGCGGAGTTGTACCCCGCCAACAACACCACCAACAACCTGTCCAACGGCACCACGGTGGCGGCCGACACCGAGAAGACCAAGGAGCTGCAGGTGAGCCAGGCCAGCAGCAGCGGCAGCGCGGCGACCACCCCGACCACCCAGCAGAACATCAACAACAACAACGTGGATCCACCCAGCTGGCAGTGCAGCCACCCCACGCTGAGAGAGAGGTACCTGCACCCCGCACAGAACCCCGCACAGAACCCCGCACCCCGTTTAGAGATTAAAGTACATTAGGGTCGTTATGAAGTAACCACAGCCACTTTAACTCACTGCGTTAATGTGATATTAGTATATAAAGTGCAGCAAGGTCACTAAACTCACTCTTTAGTTTTATTTTGGAGAAAACTAGTTTTATTTTGGAGGTAAACTTGTTTTATTTTGGAGGTAAACTTGTTTTATTTTGGAGGAAACTTGCTCCTGCTGCATCTACTTAGCTCAGTTGCATTGCTGTTCATGTTTAAAATGTGCATAAGAGCACAAATACACCAACAATTTGGATAATTTAATCAATTGAGTTGTTTTTTTTTTTTTAAAGAGATTCACAGTTTTAAAGGATTTGTGCGACTAATTAGTAAAAATAAATCATTTAAAAATGACATTAATCAAGATAATAATCAGATTAATGGATAAACCCTTCACTGTGGGCTTACTACTACTACTACTACTACTACTGTTGCTGTATCCCGCCCCAACCCTATGAAAATAACCAGTGTCTCCAGGCAAAGGGAGTGTGGGAGGACTTGACGTTATACAATACTTTGATTGAGGCTTACTCATGAAACCTGCTCTGCCTTTAGGAACGCCTTGATGTTTAACAATGAGCTGATGGCCGATGTCCACTTCATCGTCGGCCCCTTGGGGGGATCGCAGAGGGTTCCAGCACACAAGGTAAAGACATTGGAAACCCCCTCCCTCCTCCCTTTTATTTAATTTCTTTTTATGAGAAAGTTGAATCCCCCTAAAGCCAAAATTGTGTGATACTTGAATTTAAATATCTGTTAGATGAGTCTCTGCAGCACTGCTACTGAAAATAAACTACTTTCATTGAAGTTAAGCTAAAAGAAAAGAGAGACTCTGGTTGCATGTGTGTTCTCTGACGCATCTGTCTCCTCCCCCCTCCCCTCTCCAGTATGTGCTGGCCGTGGGAAGCTCGGTCTTCTGTGCCATGTTTTACGGCGATCTGGCGGAGGAGGAGTCTGAGATCCATATCCCAGATGTGGAACCTGCTGCTTTTCTAATTCTGCTGAAGTAAGCCACTCAACCGATTCCCTCACACAGCCAACCAGAAGGAGAGATGACAAGCGCAGTCAGTGTCACTTCAAAGCATATTATTACTCATCCAAAGCTAAGCAGAGGCGAATGCCAAAATGCTGGGAGCGCCAGAGAGCAGCGGCAGCAGCACAGTGCTCTGTAATTGCTGGTTTTCTCGCCGCTCTTTGTCCAACTAGAAACAGTTTTCTCATCCACAGCCTGACAATTTTCTTAGAGGGGGGAATATATGCAGACTAGTAGATATAAATAACCTGCCTTTGTAGCTCACTCAGTAGCTAAGCCAGCAGCATAGACTGTTTAGTAAGAAGGGTAGGACGTGTTAAGTCAGCATACAATCCTCTTATCGTCAATTATGTTTTGCTTCTTTTGTGGACATTAGAGTATCCGAGGGTTTTCATGTCCTGTTATGTGGGATATTATTAAAGTTGTTGCTCTGAGCTGTGATTAAAAAGGCTCTTTTCCTCCTCCCAGGTACATGTACAGCGATGAAATCGACCTGGAGGCGGACACGGTGCTGGCCACCCTGTATGCTGCCAAGAAGTACATCGTCCCCGCGCTGGCCAAGGCCTGCGTCACCTTCCTGGAAACCAGCCTGGAGGCCAAGAACGCCTGCGTGCTGCTCTCCCAGAGCCGCCTGTTCGAGGAGCCCGAGCTGACGCAGCGCTGCTGGGAGGTGATCGACGCTCAGGCCGAGCTCTCGCTGTGCTCCGAGGGCTTCTGCGAGATCGACCTGCAGACGCTGGAGATCATCCTGCGGAGGGAGACGCTCAACACCAAGGAGGTGGTGGTGTTTGAGGCTGTGATGAGCTGGGCCTCTGCGGAGTGCAAGAGACAAGGTTTGGGGCCCACAACCCGCAACAAAAGAGATGTCCTTGGCAAGGCGCTGTTCTTAGTGCGCATCCCCACCATGAGCCTGGAGGAGTTTGCCAACGGGGCGGCGCAATGTGATATCCTGACACTGGAGGAGACGCACAATGTGTTCCTGTGGTACACTGCGGCTAAAAAGCCCAAACTGGACTTCCCCTTGACTGCGAGGAAGGGTTTGGCGCCTCAGAGGTGCCACCGCTTCCAGTCCTCGGCCTACCGGAGCAATCAGTGGCGCTACCGCGGCCGGTGCGACAGCATTCAGTTCGCGGTGGACAAGAGGATCTTTATCGCCGGTCTGGGGCTGTACGGGTCGAGCGGCGGCAAAGCCGAGTACAGCGTCAAAATCGAACTGAAGAGACAGGGGGTGACCCTGGCGCAGAACCTGACAAAGTTCGTGTCGGACGGGTCGAGCAGTACGTTCCCGGTGTGGTTCGAGCATCCTGTTCAGGTGGAGCAGGACGCGTTCTACACCGTGAGCGCCGTGCTGGACGGGAACGAGCTGAGCTATTTTGGCCAGGAGGGCATGACAGAGGTGCAGTGTGGGAAGGTGACATTTCAATTCCAGTGCTCCTCCGACAGCACCAACGGGACCGGAGTACAGGGAGGACAGATCCCAGAGCTTGTGTTCTACGCATAAAGCTGCTCTGGACTGCTGATGGGAAAATTAGGTTCATCCTCGCCTCCCAGCCTTCAAAGTAATGTAGCATTAAAGACACTCGACTAATGTCACACTAAATGGCCTGGTTAGTTCTTTGAGAGACTATTTTAAAAGCCAAGGAGCTGTTGTTTTATCTTATTTAATTTAATGTTATTTTTTTAATTTAATTACTGGGTTAACGTTATTTGCTCTGATGCCTGTGTTAAAAGGCTGCGGCTGCTGTAGAAACAACATTAATACAGTGATTTGTGGTTATGTAATCAAGCTGAGCTACAAAACTGGAACAACTAGGGACCGCTTTAAAATTGTGTAATTGCAAGTCTATATACAATGTTGTTACTATAGTCTGAGCAGCAATACTTCACGAGGAGCGACCTTTATGTAGTGTTATGATTCTAAATGCAAAAAAAAGTAGAAATCTTGTCGAGAGCAGAGTTGTTTTGCACTTCAGAGGATGGCCTCAGAAACGTTGTGTCTTTTGTAAAATACAAATTTAACTGTTAACAGCTTGACGCTGTTAAAGATGACCAGATGTGTTCTGTACAAGAATGCTTATACACCTGATGATAAAACATAAAGGTTATAATGTGATTGAAGCCACAGATGTCACATCATTATGGTGCCTGGGTGAGGGAGTGGGGATAAGAGGGACTGCAGCGTCCTCTGGTTACTACAGCCGGAACTGCACCCGGGTTTTATGAGAACAGGAGGTTCTTGCAGCCATGAATGGATTATTTAATGGACCTCCAGTACAACACAGGGGGGGCCCAAGGAGTCATGGGGGGCCCCCTTGGGAAGTCAAACGTAGGGATGCTCCTATGGCGTTTCTGATTCTAGTCTGATATTTATCATGTTTTTATGCACAATTAGGCTGCAGAAAACTACATTAAACTTATTAAAAGAACTTTAGGTTCAGAGTAAAACCTGCATTACACGTCTTGGCAGATGTCCTATATTATTTTACAGTATACTACAGTGGTTAGTATAACAGATTTATGGTGATTTAATATCTGTGGAGAGGAACATTTACATAAGAGTCAGAAAGCATCTCCATGACCATTCCTCTTCTGAATGTGTCTCAACATTATGCAAGTACAATACTAAATCCATGGAGTCATTTATCAAACAAATATGGCAACCAATCTCTGGTTCCAGCCTCACAGTGCTGCAGGGTTTTCAACTGTTGGTCAGACTGGACATTTACAGACGTCACCTTGAACTTTTCATTATAAATACACACACATGGACTAAATCAGTGAATCCCAACCAATGGTACTTGTAGAACAGGGAGAGATTGTAGTGTAGCTCAACTAATTGGAAATGTTTTTGTAAATACACACTCACATATTGAGTCAGCTGTAACAATTAATTATGGTGTCATTGCAGTTTATAGTGTGTGAGAGCTAGTTAGCAAGCTAGCAGAGGAGATGCAAGGTAAGAGTAATGGATGTTAAAATAATTTGTAGTAACAGTAAGAAACCACTCCATGTGGTTGTAGTACAAATGAGAACTCAACTGTATGGAAATACTCTAACATCCACTATTTTATCAACTATTATAGATGATTAATAGTTAAATAACATCCAGTTTGTTGATGGAGGGTACTTGAGTTCATCTGTGGGGATACGTCTTGGAAAAAAGGTTGAGAACTACTGAACTAATGAAACCTATCGGGAGTTTCAGTCCTGTTTATATCAATAATTTATCTGTATAAAGACGTCTTGACAAGAGCTGATTCACAATTTAGAGTTCTCAAATTTTAAAAAGTCTTTCAGAGTGAACAGTGTTGGGGACATTACTCCAAAAAGGAAAAGTATTACACAATACTTGTTGTTAGGTATTACGGTTACCAATTAATTACACAACTTCTACATTACTACATTACTTACAACATCACCTGAGATCTTCTAACATGAACTCCATTGAAGGAGCCAAACTCACTCACTCGCCTCATGAGGACGAGTCTCAAACCAACCTGTTCCTCCTCAGAGTTGCTGTGTTAATGGATATCATACAGAAACAGTTCAGGGTCTCTGACACTGAAGTCACTGAATATTTTAAGTCGGGGTCAGAGCTGAAGGAAGCTGTATCCTCATCATCAACACCAAAGAAGGTGATTGTTGCACAAACGCCCATATGATTCCTTTTTCTCTCCGCCTGTTATGCAGATAATTGAAGAACTTATGTAACATAACTGTTTGATATTAACTGTGATGTGATCACTGATTTAGGAGCTGTAATGTTACAGATGATTGTAGTGTGGTTGCAGTAATGCTTTACAACACTGATCCAGTAGAACAAGGTGAAGGTAAGTGAGGTGTGTACCTATAGCCGGGGCGTTGATGCACAGTTCTCTGGCCAGTACGAGGAAGGTTCTTCCCAGAACGTAGACGTTCACCTGTGGAGGAGAGCAATCGTCCATTAAAGTCTCCCCTACACTCAAACATGTGTTTCCATTCTTGTTCCACAGGGTATTGTTTGATCATATCTGTGCAGAGCTGAGGGTGCTGAAAGTGGAAAGTTTGGACTTTACAGTGAAAGAGGAGACATCTTGTGTGCAGCAGACAGAAGAAATAGATCTATTTTTAAAAAGGATGTGTCTTAATATATGGAGGGAGGGGATCTTTAAAGTGTGCGTCAGTCAGAAGGGAGAAACTTGTGCTGCCAGTTAAGTTTAACTCTCTAACTGGATTTGTGTGTTTACGTGATCCTGGACGTCCTCAGTGAGTTTAATGAATCTGGGCGCCGCTCGACGCCACTTATAGAATTACAACTCGAGTCAGTCTGAAACTGAGACCTCGCAAGATGTTTTCCTCTGACAGGAGGGGTATTATTGAGAGCTGCAACGATTCATCGATTAGTGTTTAACAATTATATTTATCTCCAACTATTTTGATGATCCATTGATCATTCTGAGTAACAAATTGTCCAAATTCTCTGATTTCAGCTTTAAAATGTGAATGTTTCCCGGTTTCTTTAGTCCTCTATGACCATCTTCGGGTCGTGGACAAAACTAGACATTTGAGGACGTCACTTTGGCAAAAAGTGCTAAAACATTTTCCACCGTTTCAGACATTTTAGGGGTCAAACAACAAATCACTGAGGGCATGGATCCACAGATTAATGGATAAAAAAAACACCCGTTGGTGTGACTGGTGTGACTGGGAGTGAAAACAGACTCAGGATATGAAATATTGCCGTTGCGTCACCGTCAGGTTAAGTGTTCTGGTTACATAATCGACCCGAAGGTTGCAGAACATTTCACATCAATATGTGTGATTAAAAGCTGAGCTCCGGTCTATTTGCAGGGATTTCTGTCCTCATGCAGTCTCTCCAACTCACAGCTCTTTCTATTAATTTCTAATCAAAATGTCTGCCACTCAGTCGCCCCCACCCACCTGCACTCTCCCATCACTGCGTGTTTCCCCTTCAGATCGATTTCCTCGATCTGAATTAAAGATCTGACCGTTACATCAGTGCGTCCGGACATCACTGGCTTCCTGTGCCGACATTTATTATTTCCAAGATGACGTTTTAACTCAGTTGTATTTTTGCTGATTTTCACTCTGGCGCGTTGAAGTGACCTGATCCTCTCTCTGTTCTGACTGATTTATCTGCACACCACTATTTTTATCGCCTAAAGGTTTTCACAGACATCGGCACAGGCCATTGTTTCTCCACCAGCACAAAATATGATTTCAGCAAAGGGACAAAGGGTTATTCTGATAACTGACTGAGCTTTGAGGGAACAGAAACAACAAGAAATGGGTCAACTACTGACTTTAAAAAGGTCAACTCCCTATGATTTATCACTGAAGTTGTTATGAATCTCAGGACTTTGGTGAACACAAACATTTCAGCTTCTATAACTGCTTTTATTATCAATGAGCATCAGGTACTAACTTGTTACTGAAAATTTTGCATAATCTTTCTCTTTGAAACAGATATTCCAAGATTTAACTTAGAACTTTGGCAGTTTTAGAGCTGAAACAATTAGTCGATGACAGAAAATTAATAAGTAAACACTTTGATTCATTGTTTCAGTCAGTTTTCCAGGAACAAATGCCAAACATTCCCTGGTTCCAGCTGCTCAAATGAGAAGATTTGCTGCTTTTCTCTGCTTTATATGATAGTAAACTGATTATCTTTGAGTTCTGGGCCGACTGTCAGATAAAACAAGGGTTGTGAAGATGCTGCCGTGGGCTCTTTTAACTTCTATTAGGGTATTTTTCCCTGTTTTCTGACACTGTTCAGGTTAACACAAATAGAAAGGTTTGTACTAAAGGAGCCAGCATGTGTTTAATTTAGATCAGGGTTTCTGAAGGATTTACTGTAAGACCTTTTGAATACTAAATAAAATTCAGTTTAATACTTCACTTTCACCGGTCAGTATGATGGAAAACCAGCAGGGATGTTATGACCTAGAATGATTTATTCATCACATTTTTTCCAATTTTTCTCAGCAGCACAGAACAATAATTCCTAATGACATTAATTATTTAATTAATGAGAGCCGGAGAAGCTGTAGAAAATGTAACGATGAAAAATCATTAATTCATCAAGTATTTCCAAAAGAAATTGACACTTGACTGTATGAGCTTCCTAGCTGCTGCAGTGGTGACAGTCTGCTGCAGGTCTGATGGCTCTGACGGTTTAAAGGAGGATTACTCAGCCTCCTGCAGCACAATGCACTGCTGCAACAACCACACTGTTAGTTTATGGGCAAGGACAGCCTGAAAGCACATACAGAAACATTTCATTTTACTGCCTACAGCAGGCAAGATAAAACATTTAAGACTCATTTTTTTGAGGAAACTAACTTTTAAAGACTTTGTTTTAAAAGACCTGCAGATACCATGTTAGATAGGAATGTGAACCTATCCTCTAAATAAGGCATATTTGACACTTTTACACCATTATTTAAAATGTTCAACCAAAATTGAGTCTTAAACTTGATAAACTGGTGGATTAAACTAGGCTGAGCAGCAAACTGGAGACCTGGTTTGTTGCAGGCTGTTTGAGGAGAAGCGGGGTGGATGAGCGGTCGATGAGGGCGAGTGTGTCATCGGGGTTATCACGCTGGCACCTCCCATCACAGATGTTTCATTGTATTTTAACCACAACACCTCCAGAAGGCTCGGCAGTAAATTCTGGCATCCCCTGACCCACCCCCGCTCCATCTGAAAGGATCTAATGATGGATAACAAAGCCACGGGGTTGCACATCTATCATTTTCTTCCCGAATTATCAGCATTACAGCCCAGAATGAAGTTTAGCTGGGACCCCGGCTGAAAGCTACAGCAGACGGCAGTGAAAGCTGCAGGATCAGGTCGTGAACTCGGGTCAGATCTCTGTCATTCCTTCAGACCGACTCTGCAGACCTCCGGGGCTGGAGGGGGTGAGGGGTTGGGGGGGGGTGAGGAGCAGACAGACGGACTCTCGCTCTCAGACCCCTCTGGAGTCGGGCAGGGACGCAGATGCTCCTCTGCTATTCTGGGAAGTGGATTCCAGCAAGGAATTCATATACAAAGTTGGAAGTGGAATAAACAGGATTGTTGGTCTTAAGCTTTTACGGCATTTAAAGCCACACTTATCAATATTTTTATATTAACAATGGATGAAATGATTATATAAAAAGGTGTGAATGGAGTTCTATGCAGCGATTTAGTGCCTTCAGGTCAATGTTTCGGTTCACAGCCCGCAACAAGCACAAGCAGAAAATATCATGAACTTCCTGTTTTTTGCTCACAGACCCTGAAGCCGGTTTCACAAAGACAGACTTTGACCATAGCTTAGATCCAACTAATAATCAGACTGTAGTGGAGCCTGGAGAAGCAGAGGATAAACGCCCTGTGTTACTAACAGTGACGTGTAAGACTACCCTTGCATACTGAGCTCATCCAAAAATAGTCCGGTAGTGTTTGCACATTGTCACTGAACCTCTGCTGCTTGACTTCAGGGAGTGAGGATCATTATGAAACATTAGCCACGGAAGAATCAATACTGGCCCACAGACAAGTGAGACAACTACATAATTATGCATTTTGAGTGAAGTATTCCGCATTCTTTCCTCAATCCACTCATGAAATTGGACAACTATGTCATGCCTTTGCCATTCTTGGAAAAAGAAAAATCAGCTTACAGAACACTATTGAATGAGGGGATTTAGAATATACCCAATACCCAGAAGGATACCCAATTACAACTGAAAAATAAGTTGCTGTCACTGTGTCTACTTTGCACTACTCCACTGCTTCATATTGCTGTAATTAATCAATCATTTTGCATAAAGCGGTTTAGTTCTGCCCTTGCAAGGCTTCAGTCTGTGCGTTTGTGGTCAAACTACAGTGGCAACGGACCAATCAGCAAGTACTGGCAGCTACTGGGTCAGGCGCTAGGTGTTCACAGTTCACCCCAAACTTCCTCAAAATCACTTTTGACTGGTTGTTTGTTCAGTTTCTGTCACTTCAAACTTTATTCTACACAATGTTAGTCTCAAATTATCCTTGCATGGCAGCTGGATACACAAGATCAGTCAAGAATCCATCTTGCCAGGCTTCAAGCTATGTACTTATATCCAACCACAGTGGTCTGGACCAATCAGCATCCTACACAGAACTTCTGGCAGTGACGGGCAACGCTCCCATAGAGGTTAGCGTAGCTGCTGCTAGCATCAGTCATATCAGTACTTATTTCTTCATTGAAAGAAGAGCAAAGAACGGCACTGAAGGCTTTTCTTTCTGATATGACGGCAGTGTTTCCAAAGCAAATGTACATTGTTAATTATTCCAACAGAAAGGGTGCATAGTGCACAAATGCATGTTAAAGAGACATTATCGTGTTCCCAGATCTCAGCATTTACTTTGGTGAGTACAATTTTAGCATTAAGGATAGGAACAATGGCCAAAACTGTCAAAATAAGTCCTATAAGAACTCAAACTACTTCATTCAACTGCAGAGTGAAAAGGACTTTAAAATGTTTAATTGGCTTAATAGAAATTTGGACAAATCTTTATATTAAAATATGAGTTTCAGAACTGCTCATTAATAAATAAATATCTTATGCATTCATGCAGCACAGCAGAGTTTTGTTCATCATGCAGAAATTGTTAAATTTGACACCATCTGGAAACTTTTCTTCTTTGGTCCGAACATGATATTAGAATCGGAGAGACTGAACTGAAGTCTTTAAATTAAATTTAATCATCACTTTGAACTTTGGGCAGTGGAGGTGCTCGGGAGGTGAAACTGGGGGAACCTGAGAAGAATCTAATCCCCTCTCAACTGCAGCACTAAGTGAAACTTTCCGGGTCGACAGGTCAACTTGAAACTTTCTACCATGAAAAACACAGACGCGGTCACTCGATACTTCACGGCCGAGTCTCAACAGGTGGTGGACGGTTCAAGGAGAAAAAAAACTTTCAATTAAAGGATTCCTGATGGGACTCGTATGACTGAGGACGGCTCCAGTTAAAATAGTGACAACATCAACTCAGCTACAGACAGAAACTACAGAACCAAACTGCTGCTGTCAACAAGTCTGCAAGAAGAAGAAGCTGGTGAAGGAAGACAGACCGTTAAGACCCGGTTGCCTCTTTAGGCAAATTAAAGTTAGGGAGCTTTAATCCTGTGTGTGGATACTTGGCTTTTTCCTCTGCTGAACCTGCTCTCCCGAAGCTCTGATGTGCACACAGCAACCTTTCTGTACCAAATGCTGCCAATACACAACTTAAATGTAAACTAAGTCATTTTACAAGCCATCAATCTAAATCTGCTCCTGTTGAAAAAAATCAAAATTACACCTGCCCCTAGGTGCAGCACACATGTGAGAATATATCTGCAGTCACTGGTTGTTGGCCATACATATTGCCCAACCATAACCACACATAATGTAGGTCCAGGGTTCAGTCCAGTTTTGAAAATCTGGGTCCATCATCAAATTTGCTTAGCTGGAAAGCTGAATCCTTTTAAATCTCTTAGGAATAAAAAGTCTTTAATAAATACGAGCTAATACATTATACAAATACAGCGTCGTCTTCAGGGAGTCTTGACATACTGAACCCAAACAAGTAAGTAGTCTAATTCCACACAACTTAGTAAAGATGAACCCAGTACAGTTTTAAATTGCACTTTTAATCCTCTAAAAGCAAATAACGTTGAAAAATACTGAAGAATACTAAACTATCAACTTTGCAAGAACTACACTCTGATAGATAAAAAGACACCCGGAAAAATATGCCAACATCTGGCCAACTGCACTGTCCGCCTGCAGATGGTTAAAGTATGTTCATCAAATGTTTTTTGTGCCTAAACTGAAAATGTTACAAATACTCTATTAACTATCTGTAGGCATCCAAGTGGAACCATTTAGCTTTCTAGGTTAACTGTGCCCCATCTCAAGATAAAAAACTAAACTATTTTCCTAGATGACATCCACCTAAAAGCTCTCATGCATTGCTTCCTATGAACTAAAAAAGTAGAAGAGATCAAAGTCTAAACTTCACAAATCCACCAGCCTTGAAGAAATAAGGACTTTTCCCTGCACACTGTCCAGAGCTTTAAATAAAATATTTTATTCGCATAAAATGTGTGAATGAGCCTCTACGTGCCCTGAAAGACCCCAGACAGATGGAGCTGTGGGCAGTGTGCAGCATCCTCTGTATGTTCGCTCTCCAAAGCACCTGTTGTTCACAACCCTGCTGCATGTGTGCAGAGATATGCATCTAATGTGCAAAACCATCCAGAGCATGTGATTGAATTAATAAAATGTGGAAGGACCTCATCACATTAGCAGCTGATATTTACAGCCCGTATTGATCCAGCCTCCACCAATATGCTTTATTCTGCTTGAGTACGTTTTGTGGCGCGGGCTGACGGAGCGACTCATTCATCCAAACAATGCCGAGCAGACCAAGTGGCCTGGGTGTGGATCCATAAAAAGTGATTGGTGGAATATCTCCGCCCTGCAGCCGCAGCAGCCACAGCCTAAATGCTGGACGTTAATAACCCCCACAACCCCACCCACCCAAAATCCACTCTAAATCCACTCCTGGCCTCCTCATGCCGGGGTGTGGACGATGGGGGGGGAAGGGGCGGCCAGTTCCTCCGGGACAGCTGGGTGCATAAAAATAAAAGCCCCTGACCAGCTGTGACTCTGAGAAATGTCCCACCGGCTCGTCCAGCACCAACACACCCCTGACTCACTGTGAATCGGCTGCCATTAAATATGCAGACAAATGGAGGGGTTTCTAAATTTACACACACACACACACACACACGACTCAGGTTTAATTACATGGGTGAAAGTCTGAATGCAAGATGACTGCAGGAGTGGTTAGGGAGAGGTGCATTATGGGACTGAGTGGTAGGAGTGAGTGTGTATTTAAGTGGTTGCTGTAACAGGGTGGGCATCGACACACATTAAAAGGAGGGAATTAAAAAGTTGGCTTCAAAGTCTGGAAAAGTTATTTTAAGTTTTCCAGCCTCATTTCCACAGAGTTCTTGAATTAATCAATGAAAATGAAAAGTCAATTGATTAAAAAAACTGCAGAATTTTAGTTAGAGTTGTAAAATTATTAAACGGTATAGAGTTTCAGCTTCCCAGGAGTCACAATTTGCTGCTTCTCTTTGTCTTACGTTGAAATTGAATATTTGGGGGATTTTGGGCTGTTAGACAAAAGAAGACATCTGAAGACGTTTGATGCTTGTGCTCTCGGAGACTGTGATGGATATTCATCACAATTTCCTGATGTTCAAGGATTAAACAAGATCAAGAAAACAATTATTAATTCGACTGTAGTCTTGAAACTTACCTGCAGGAGATCACTGAGATCCAGCAGCATGTCTGACAGAAACTGGTTAAGGCCACGAAACCAAAAGCAGGAGAAAATGGAAAAGAACTGACTGATTAAATATACATTTATTAAGGAATAAATATTCCCTGCATGAAGCTTTCAGTTTGTGTTGATTCTGGCGACCACTGTGGACAAAAGCAGTAGTGTTTCCACCGCCTCGCTTCATTGATTTCAAGGGGAATCCGACCCGTTAGCAGGCATTAAGAATAAGAAATAAATCCGTCTTCTGGCTGATGGTCTTGTCTGTTTTGTTCCGAGACGTTGCTTAACATGTTAAATAATTTGTAAACCAATTCTAGCTAATAGTGCTGAGAGCTGATTCCTCCATCTTACTCCACAGTAGTGTAAACAGTGCAGTCTTGTTTTGTTTGTAGTTTTCTTTTCCTTGAATAATAATAATGTCATTTATTAAGAATAACCATATAGAAATATCCAATCTTCTTGCCGATGGTCTTGTTTGTTTATGTAGGTCATACAGAGGCATCAGTATTAAACTGAGACGTTGTTTTAACATGTTAAATAATTTGTTAACCAATTCTAGTCGACATTGCTGAGAGTTGCTTCATCTCTCTTACTCTGTGCTGTTTGCCACAGTGTTGTAAATAACAGTGCAATCTGCTGGATAAACTCTGCAGTGAAACCAATATATCACCAGGCATTTATTTTCATTTCATACCAAAAAAAAAACTTCATTTGCACCAATACCGATATAATACCGGTCTATGATAGGCCGATACCGGTATCTAATCATAGTAAATGATCATTAATGACAGGAGGATCTATGTATCTACTGACAGGTTTGTATGTTTGTGTGTGCTGTATATTACTGTTTGTGCAAAGTGCCTTTTGTTTTGTTTGTATTAATGCCATTTTCTACATTTCTATGTTCCTAAAACAGGAGAGGGATTCTGAATAATCCTTTCATGCTTCCTTCCTCTCCTGCACCGTAATTACCGTCTTCTACAAGAGTGTATTCTGCTTTGTATTATTGTGCAAATAAAGTGAGCTAACAGGCGGGGGACGAGGTGCTCTGGTAGGTCGGGGGGGGGGACTGCGTTCTCGCGTAAAAACACAAACAACTATCTCTGAAGTGTTTCACACTTTGCACTGCACTGATGATGAAACACACAAAAGGGGGGGACATGGTGAGCTCAGGCAGCTGTGACAGTAAATCTGACGAGACGCTGAAACCGTCACCTCTGACCAGACGACTCTTCTTAACACACCGACGGACCTGTCGCCTCCCCCGCTGTGACCACACATACACACACGCACACACGCACGCTCCCAGTGACAGGGCCCTGCTTGGACACATCAGTCTCCGTGGCGACAGTGTCTCCGTGGAGACAGGCGCACCTGTCTCCAGGCTGCCCGGGTGGATTAGTCTGGGGGGAGAGCTCCTCTGAAAAAGGCCTCACAATGGAATTAGCAGCAGTGCAGATGAAATGGAAAAAAGATAATCCCAGCGCGCGCCGTCTGGAGATTACAGGCAACTCCCTTAATCAGGAAAATAAAACACGACAGCGGGTCCTTCGACACATCTGGGACCTTGCACCTTGTGTGGGGCAACAGGAAGGACAGATCCCCGTCAGCTCACTTATAGAAATTAAAATGAATATTTAAACTGATGCAGAGGTTAAATCCATGATGCATTTACTGCATATGGAGAGCTGGAAAAGTTTCTGCATCTGTCTGCTGCTGCCACAATCATCCACACAGACATTGAGCTTCTAAACCTGCAGGCGCTGAACAGCAAGCCTGGTCCAGTTGCAGTAAATGTCAGTGTTTTTGTACTTTTTCTATTAATAAACCGCTACTCAAGCAGTGACTCTTGACCTGGGGGGTCACCAAAGCTTCACGAGGGATCGCGAGGCCTCGTCCTGCATTATGGCATTAACAGAACAATGGCCAAGTGTCAGGGAGAAGAAAACACTGAGTTTGTTAAAAAAAAGAAGCCAAACTCAAATGTGATCAACATTAACAGGAAATAATCTGCTCATAATTCATCCAAATCGCTGGTTTTACACAAACTTCCTGCAGTCACTGAGTTCACTGTTTGTGTTCATTGTACAGTTTATCAGCTGTTCTCTGCTGTTATTGTTCTGCACTGAATAGAATATAAAATATGTCACTTAGTTTACTCAGTGACAGAAAAGAAAAGGTTTGGAACCAGTGAACTCTCACATGGTTTGCTGTGACACAGTATGCACATTATTTCATGTTAACTCTTATTTTGTTGACATTTCCTATTTGGCGACCACACAGGGAACTTCATTAGCTTTCAACCTCCCACTGATACGATTACACAAATATACAAACAAATATATTAACAACACAATAATTTTAGATTTGAAAATAACCAAAAACAGGAGGCCATCACTAAGAGGATCAACAGCATCCACTCGGTTTACATTGTGATCCACTGGGTCAAAAACCAGGATAACTGATAAATATTAGTATTATCAGACTGTGAATCGAAATGTCAGACCATGCTTTGGTGCGGTTTTCTCCATCCTTTGGGTGGGTGCAAGCTAAATCCCAGGACTCGCAGTTTATTTTCTGACCGCCCGCAGCAAAGTCAAAACCTCCCACTCCCGCAAGATTTAAGTCAAATCCCAGTCCCGGTCCCAGTCCTCTAGTTTGCACCACAAATGATCCGCAGCAGACCGCCATTTTCAAGAGATCTCGACCTGCTTGTTTGGTCCCATATTCGAGTGCGACTCCTGCACCAAACAACTGCTCCAAATGAAAAAGAAAGACACTGACTCAAGGAAGCGAGGATGCTGTGGGTCTATGGGAAAGCTGGACTGAGAGAGATTATTGCTATCGACAGAAACGAGGCGATCAACTGTATCAGCAAATGAAATTTATCAGGTTTCTGGACCAGGAGCTGACATGTTTGACTGATGGGGTAATGACATTTGTGCTCTGATTAGATTGTTTTAATGGATGCATACGTCTGGGGTTAATGTCCCAGAGGCAGAGGAAGGAAAGGTTGAGTACAAAGAAGGTGGAAGGAAGCTCGGAAAGACGAAGAGGTGCACAAAAGGAAAGGAAAGTGCGGTCGGTCTTCTTTAAATTAAACTCCAGATGAGACGGACGTTTCCTTTTCACTCTGCTCTCCTTCTGCCTCCGTCTTTGTCCTGATTCTCCCCTGCGACAACATTACAGACTCACCCAGCTGTGGAAAAGGAAGTGAGCAGAGCTATTTTTACCTCGTCCTCACTCCTCCGAACATGCACAAACAGACAGGCCTGCACGCACACACACACGCACACACGCCTGGTAAACAATGCAGCAGGAAGGCATTACACCCTCCTCGCCCCTCTTTCATTTGGTAAACCTATCCCGGCCGTCCTGTGCTGCCGTTACATAACACAATCATCCTCGGAGGCGAAGTGAGTCAGGAGTAAACCGACAACGGCACAAAAAAACCCAAAGAGCTGCCCCGCTTATCAAAAAAGGATGAACCTAAAAGTCCCATTATCCCGACAGTGACACATCACTCTCGACTTCAATAAGCTGCCGTTAGCAGATTATGAAACATTAAGAAAGGCGGCGGCGGGGCGTCCTGGCCTCCGCTGGTTCACATCAAACAGTAACCTGCAGACTTTGATGTGCCATCCTGCGTCAGGTTGGAAGACTGAACGCTAACACCAAACTTTTGCTCAAATATAAGACGTGTGAATAAATAAAAGTGTCTCCTCTGCAGCTCCGTTCACTTCTGGGTGTTTTTCCTTTGATCGGGTTTCCTTTCAGAGGGGATTTTTCCACTTTGTTAAAACATTTAAAGTAGATTGACACACAGTCCACAGCAGGGCGATGGCCAACCGGGCAACTGTACTACTTCTTCCTTTAGGTGTTAACGTTAAGAGTTTGGGTAGATTTTCAGTGCTTTGTTCTCTATATTTTGTGTTAGTTTGTGTCCTGTAGTGTTCTCTCTGTATTTTCTTGCTGAGTTCTGTGTTTTTAAATGTACATACTTATTGCTGAGGTTGTGTTTTGTACTGTCTCTTGTGTATATGTATTTTAAAAGATATAAGTAACATTTCCTCATGAAAATGTCGAGAAACTCTAGAGCTTTGTTCTATATGTAGTTGAGCTGTGTAGGATAGGTCAGCGTTGTGGTTGTCTGCCAGAAGCTGTCATACATTGACTGTTGATCCAGTCTGAAGCCACATTGTTACCAACCACTGTTTAGATCTTGGCGCTTTTTAACTCTAGATTTGAACCGGATGAAGGATTTTAGTCATCGGACGTCTGGATCTTAAGTTATCAGAGAAACAAGCTGAGCTAACGTTAGCAGCAGCTCGACTCGCAGCCCCTCCGGGACGTCCTTTGTCTGTCCAACAGCGTGGGAGAAGCAGTGATTGTTAAGGTGGAACTGCTTTATTCAGTGTGTTTAGTGGTTTTAATCAGCGGGTCTGTTTGTGTTGGAGAGGAGGAGACCTCTGTGGATCATTGGGCTCCCGGTAGAAACCTCCTGAACCATGAACACTGAAGGAATCCTAACCGGGAGAAGCTGACTGCAAAGACGGCAAACTCCCATGATCCCACGCGACTTCAGGACAAACATTAACACGATCAACAAAGTACAGTAAGGATACGTGGCGTTCCCTCAGTGCGGCAGACCATGTAGAGGCAGGCGGCGACGACGTGGGAGGACTTGCGGCCGCGGGTCAGGTGCTTCATGAGCGCCATCTTGTAGAAGTTGAAGGCCGTGTCCAGACAGTGTTTGTTCATCTGCAGCTGGTGGCCCAGAGTGTTGATGTTGTGTTTGGCTGAAGAGACAAATACAAGAGAATGTCAGTTCACAGAAACATGGCGACTATCTCTATTTAAACACGTATTCAGCATCCTGTCTGTTTTTATCATTAATGTAGAAAAGAGGAAAGAAAGTTCACTGTATCCAAAAGGTTTAAGGTTCATCCTCATGAAAATGTTCAGAAACTTTAATGGAAAATGTCTACAGCGCATTCATTCAGGGTTTAAATATAAAAGGGACAGAATCAGAACTCAGCTGAAGGTAAATTCTTCCAGGTTAAATCCACGCTGGGATCAATAAAGTCTTATCTTATTTCTATTGCCCACCTGTACCCATCATCATTTTTGCCTCCTCTTGCTTAGTTTGACATCTAATTTAAAAAGCAAGGGTGACAGAGTGTTTGCCAGAAGAGATCAGGATGGAAAGTGTTATCACTTCATTTAGGTAGAACTTAAAACACACTTCTTCTAACCTTTCACTCACCATCGTTTTATTTATTGCTATATTTTACAGTGTTTACTGTTAATTGGATATATTTTTCCTTTTACCCTGTAAAGGAACTTTGTAAACCTGATTTTGAAAGGTGCTATATAAATAAAGTTTATTATATTATCTACAACGGGGTCCATATTACTGGTTGCTTAGAGACATGTGAGAGTACACGTGAACCCTGACCAGACAAAGTCAGAACAAGCTGTAAAGTCGTCGTCATGATCGCCTCATTTCTCTATTGGGAAAGACATGAATGCGGTGAGGCACCTAAACATTACTGTCTGCAAACGAGTCAGGACACACGCCTGGAGACGAGCACAAGGGTCCCATTATACACACGTGTGCAAATGTACATGAGTACAGGAAAGACTGTAACTGTGTCATTACACGCAAAGCTCAGAAACATCCAACAACACGGCGCACAAAGCAGTTCAGGTGGAGCAGCAGGTGTGTGTGGGTGTGTGTGTGTGTGTGTGTGTAGTTCATGACCTCGGATGAGCTCAACATGTTGTTACAAACAAGTGTGTGTGTCTGGGAATGTGAGAGTCTGAGCTCATCGCGTCTCGCCATGTTGTTCAGTTTAACAGATTTCAACATGGGGATGACACACACACACACACACACACACACACACACACACACACACACACACACACTACACACTACACACTACACACTACACACTACACACACCCACCCCATAAACACGTCTGGAGTTTCAGTAGAATAATGAGAAACAGAAAGTCCACACAGCTACTGCATTGACTCCGATGAAGATGATTCCCGTCCATCTCACCACAAGGTCTATTCAGCGGCTCTGGAAACTTTCCATTGTGGATGAAAAATTCCCAGTTGTCAAAGAAATGTTAATGTTCACATGTTTGAGACGACATGAATGAAAAAACTACCAAACCAAACTGTACAATTCCGTAAACAACTGATCAAACGCCATCTGCTGATGAAGATCACATCATAGGATCAAAAGTTCCTGAACATTTACTAAATGGACCTTACAGCAACAGGAGGTTTCTGAACAGCTGATTTCAGGCTCCAAGATCTTCCAGAAGACAATGGGTTCAGTTCTGCTTTGTTTTAACATCTGTTGAGATCATCGACCCCGAGACATTACAGAGTTATTGCTGAACAAGAATAAGATGGTAAATGGACTGTGCATCATTCATCCATTCACACACATTCACACAGCGCCACAGCTCATCACATTCAGAAAATAACATCAGGAGCAAACTTTGGGTTCAGTTTCCTGTTCAAGGACACATCGACATGCAGCGGGAGGAGCTGGGGATCGAACCCTCAACCTTCTGATTAGTAGACGACCCGCGTTACTGAACTGTCATAGCGTAAAGAACACACCACCATATACATAAAAGAGTTTACTTTAAGCCAATTTACATTTACAACACTGCTCACAACTCTAGTTTGTGGTTCAAATGTTTTAAACCTATTTTCTTTATAGTCTGTCGTGTTGACTAACTAGGGTGAGCAGGTCCACAGCATCTAGTCTAGTCTTCAAAAGTGGAACCACTGCATGGAAGACACTTTTAAAATCTGGTTTTCATGAAGTGAAGAAAGCAGGGACAGAGTTTGATGTCAATGAAGGGTCAAATGCTGATCAACCTGTCACCGTCTTTACTCCGTTACGCCTAACAGGGAGAACTGCAAGTCACAATATGCAGATTGAGGCAGAACATGATAAAAAATTATTACAAAGAAAAAGGAAATGCAGCAACAACAAACACTGGAAAGCTACCAGTGGAAGGCAAATATCTCAGACTATTGCATAAGATAATATGAACTATGAAACTTTGAAACGTAACCTTTTTATGCTCACTGTATTTCCTCAGTGTGGGAGTAATAATAAATAAAATATATTTATTATGAAGTCCTTCACAAGGCCTTAACCTGCAGAGTTCATTGTGTGCTGCTGCATGAGCTGCAAGTTAGTTAAGTTATATAGACATTAAATCAAACTTTTCGACTTAAACCCATTGAGACGCTGCTGAAAGCTCCAGAAAGAGCTCAAATGAGATTAAAAGAGTCGTCTGTCTCATAATTCTTTAGCAGAATAAAAGGACGTAATCTCTCAGTTTATTATTGTAAACAACTGTATTTAGTAACTCCTTGTTTGTCTAATGTGATCTGAATCCATTAAAACTGGTTAATAAATGTTTTATTCTCGTCCTCGAGCTAAACAAGGAACTAAATATAACAGAAGACATGCAGTACAGAAATACATGAAATAAATACAAATAACAATAACCCAAAAACAAACACAAACCAAAGATCTAGAGGCAGGAGACCAAAGAAGAAAAAAACTCCAAAACTTTGCAAATTGAGGTCCAAACTTTGTGTGTGAAGCAGCTTCGGTGAAGATGAAAGTTAATTGCTACCCTAATTTACTAGAAAGTGAGTGTCACAGATGATAAGTAGGGCAGACACAGAGTGCCGCCGCTGTAATTAGGACTCTTCTTCCTCATCAGGTTTAAAAAATAAAAACTTTCCTGCCCTTCACGTGACTCTTCAGCTCAAACCCTCAAAACAGCAACTGATTCCTTAAAAAAGGAGCCTCGAACATAAATACAGCCTCATAACATTTTCAGGAACAAAAAGTGGGACACCCCGAAGCAGCGTGACATTTATACATTCACAGAATCTGACCAAACTATCTGGGGAGCTGTTTTTAACCAGGATTCTCACACACACACACACACACACACACGGACACACACACGGACACACACACGGACACACACACCTGGATTACAGGTAAAGTAAGGTCTGATTGGACGTTATTACACCAGGGACACACACGGGAAGTCCAATTAAAACACCAGCTGATTAATGTTTGTTTATTACAGAAGAAAAGAGTGAAATAGTAGCTGGATCTGTGTGAACAGCAGATAAAACCAGTAACAGACATCAACTGGGAACCAATAAGGATGGGAACTGATCACATGTTATTGATAGCGATGTCGTGATATGCCATGTTGTGTAGAAATGTTACGTTATATTGTGTATATATTGCTTATAAATGCACATAGCTGGTGTTTCCACCCTCGCGTTACAACGAACGCTGTTGTCGTCGTTCTTTGTGATTCAACTCAATATATTTGACCTGAAGTCCTCCGTCCCTGGGAAGCTGCGATCGCCGTTTTTTTCTCCATCGTATTTGACATTTAAAGAGCAACAATCTAAAACAATAACAGGCTGATTAATCGATGACGAAAATAATCATAAAGTCGCAGCCCTACGTGGCAGCACGATGACGTCAGGAGGACATCGCTGCTTCCTGTTTCTGTTTATTTGTCTCAAGAGGACACTTCTTATTGTTAACAGTAAATATCTTCCTGCTCATTCCTACCACCCAGCTTGATAACAGAGTCTTACAGTGAGACCTCGGCATTCATCCTTCATCCTTGGAGTCATTATTTCAGGTTTCTGCCAATCAGAAACTACCTTCTCTTGAAAGTGCATCACCCTCAGTTTCTAGATAAGTTCCTCCAAACTGCAGGTTGTGACAGAAAGACGTCATCCTTTTAAGATTCACCACAATCCATCAACCCGCCCACTATGATAGCAGTGAAAACCACATGGGAGACTGAGCCGGGGATGCAGATCTCCAGCGAGACCTGGGAAGAAAGCCGTAACGAGATTAACGCGTGCTCCATCAACCCTAGGCGTCGTCTCATTCAGCTTCGTGTCACCCACAGACTCCACTATTCAAAGTCAAGGCTCCACAAGATGTTCCCAGACACCCCCCCCCCGCTTCAGTGGGATAAATCTAACACAGCTCTCTGGATAGAAAGATATTGTTTTTATAACGACACCCGTGTCGAACTGGATCCTTGTGCCGAGAATCTTCAGACGCCACATCTGTATTAAAAAGAGCACAGCAGCAACGTCTCTCTTACGGTCTGGAGAAAGTTCCCACTTTTAAGCTGTGGCTCAAACAACACATATCCTTCATCTTGAGGAAAAATAAGGTTCTCTCTGAAGAACACTCTCTGGCTGTCCTTTGTCTGCTACCCGAGAAACAACCCATAGTGCTCACTCTCAGTGTCATCTACTGGCTAATACAATTCCTACCGCTATTTTATACCTTTATTGTTGAAGATGACTCACTGAGCAGAAGGGAGGGACGGTGTGTTAAGGGTATATTTTGTTTGTGCACATTGCTTTTTGGTGTCCTACATCTTGTAATCCTCAAGAATATTTCTGTTTACAAATCTCTCAGAAAACGAAGTGACGTTAACTTTTGAACAACGTAATAAAACTCTTCTTTTCGCTCCTGAGGAAGATATCTGGCCCTTAAATGTTGTACTGTGTGCGTCTGTACAGTGCGTTATGAAACACTAGTTATGTTTCCATCTAAATATAATCCACATTTAACTGAATTTGGAATAAATGTGCACAAAACAAATGTGAATGAATGCTTGTTTCTATCCACTGCCGTCATGTGAATAAAGCAGGATGGAAGTATGACACTTAGTTTTATTAATTTAATGTGATTACTAACGTGAGGAAGGTTGTATCGGATCCGTGGCGAGGGATCACGGATGTGTTACAGAGCGACGGGAGAGAGGAGACTGAGCGGAAACAGGTGATCAGTCATGTGAGTTAAATGTTCGCTTATGTGAAAGAAGCGTTCCCATCTCCCCGTTAAACGCATGAACTGTTTCTGAAAAAGGCAAAAACCTCCTCAAGCGAGCGGAAAAACCTTTTCCTTTTTGTTAAATTTGGGAGGTTTCGCTTTTGAATTTTGCCCTTTTCTAATGTGATACCTCAAAGTGTTGATGTAAACGTGGCTACTGAGGCTGAGCCATACACTAAATGTACGAACCAAGTCACTCTTCAGCTGTCTCTGTCAGAGCTGATGATGCTGCTGAGTCATTTGATGCATTGTTAATATTAAATTAACTAGACCCAGAGATGATTCTTGCCTCGCACCGCAGTATCAATATATTCATTCACCTTCCAGCTCTACATCCAGATTTATGGGTATCAGACATTGGGCTTTTACTGCAGCTCCAGTTTATGATTCAGACTGTTCAGACAAAGTGTGTTTTCTCACATAAATCTTGCCTGGAGCCGCTTTTTTTTTTTAAAGCTGCATTTAAATTCCAGTCGTCACGCCTACACCGCGGCGCACCGTGTGGACCAACACATGAGGGACCGGTGATACATTATTGTCCCACACTAATACGGGAGGAGGCGGGGTTTGTGCTCCCAGATATGAATCAGACGGCGGTGAGACGGCGGAGGCGCAGGCGGCCGCTGGGGAAAGTTTCTGGAGGACTGAGAGAAAGAAAAGAAGAGCTGGTCCTCTCTCTTTGAGACGCCTGCAGACTCACAGACAGCCATAAATCTCCCCACAGACCTTACACACACACACACACACACACACACACACACACAAAACAAAAAAAAACAACAAGTATAACACTACTCTTACTCACATACACACTTAAAGGAATAGTTGAACACTTGAATCGATGCCACTCTCAATGTCTGTGTGGTAAATATGAAGCTACAGCCACTAAGCTTAGCATAAAGACTGGAAACAAGGGGAAATAGCTAGACTGCCACTGCCCAAAGGTCTGTTTAATCTGCTTCAATATGAAAACATATAGCACCCAGCCCAGAAATAGTCCAACATATATAATATAGAACACCAACATTACCAATTGTTAGATCTTAGACAGGATGCGCCTTCCCAGTAGGTGCTAAACCAAAGCCTAAAGTTCCAAAGTTAAACCCTGGATGAACACCCAAAAGGACGGACGGACACACACACACACACACACACACACACACACACACACACACACACACACACATTCCAGCTGATGAAGGCTTGTTTACTCTTTATAGGGACAGGTGTTGTGAATTAGCGTCTGCTATAAACACTACAACACTTGCATCAGATAGCGGTTTACTGTATTATATAAGCCATAAATGAATAAAATAAATCTCCGGGTGGGGGAGTACACACAAACACACTTTATTGCCATCTCTACTGCGTGATATGCAGCAGTCTAGAAGGCGTTCAATGATCCAAAACAATAGAATAAATAATAATTCCCCTCAGGATGCGTTAAGACTAAAGACTTGAGCCTGTTTCTATAATGTAAGGAATACAAAGTGCAGATATTTGTGGAAAAGTGTGGGGAGTGGTCTGTTTTTGTACTTCGCTTCACAGTTTGTGACCGTGATTTAACCTGTTCACTCACTCACACACACACACACACACACACACACACACACACACACACACAGAGGATGAGAACAAACATCCTAAACAAAGCCTCCATCCACAAACACAATAAGTAAACTCTATTCCTCCTGTACAGAATATATGAGAAGTATTCCCCAACCCTCATCCTCCTATCTGCTCTCACACACACTGCGACAGAGCTAATCCCCACTCCACACACACACACACACACAAACTCATTACTCAGCGTCTGCCACGGTCTGACAGCTCTGTGACTCTGCAGCTCCGTCGCTGAAACATCATCAGCCGAGCAGACGCTCATCGCCGCAGTAACCAGCTGCTCGCCGTCGCATCCGAGCTCTGGCGCTCAGCCCGCCAGCCTGCCAGCCGAGAGAGCTTCTTTTTTATTTTAAGATTCTTTCTGGGAGTTGTTGATGTGTTTCTAGACTTGTGTATATCAGCGCGAGCATCCGGGGACGACCTGCAGGGCCCCTCGAGGTCCCCCCCGGGGGGGGCTCCAGAATAACAAGTAACAGGTCAATTTAGAGCTTGACAGATAAATCGACAGGGCCGACACTCAGCTTATCTCAGATACAGTGAAGTCTAACAGAAACAACTCTGTCTGAACAACAGCGTCCTCCTCACTCCGGCTTCAGTTTGATTTCAAGTCTCTCTGAAGTTTTACTGTCCAGCTGCCAAAAATCCAACCGAGAGAAGATATAAACACACTGCCACCTCCTCTACGTGTTTAATCTTATGTTTTAGTTCTTTAGCCCTCTCTCCACCTCACACTATAGGCCTAAATGATATGGCCTAAAAATAAAATCTCACTCCAATAAAGTTTCACAACTGATTAACACATTTTATTGATTTCTTCCCCTTAAAACCAAACTACAAGGAGCCCTGACATATTTCATGGATATTTCACAGTTTATTAAATGCACAACAACAGTAGAGATAAACTAATAGACTGTATAGTTAAACACAAACACTCCAGGAAGACTGCAGGAACGAGAGATTTGGATGAATTTTGAGCAGATTATTTCCTGTGAATGTTGATCAGAGATGAGTTTTAACAATTATTTGTCTGTATTAAGTATTTTTTTATTATATTTAAACAATCATACATAGTTAACAGGATTCTTTTTTGACAAATTCAGTGTTTTCTTCTCATTGTGCTATTAGCTCTTTGGCTGTTTATCAGCGAGCGAAGACTGATTACCTCGGAGGACCTTATCCTGTCAGATTACTTTAAGTTTATGTCTTTAATAATAATAATAATAATAATAATAATAATAATAATAATCTTAACATAAAAAAAAGTTTTCTTTGCAGAAATGCTGAGTTATACGCCTGTATATGTTATATTAAAAGCATTGTGAAGCTCTTGCGACCTCTAGTGGCGGTCGGTTGGAAACCACTGTATCATTTGACCTTTATGTTTCCTGACTGAAATTTTAAAGTGATGGTGAAATGTTGCACCAGAACTCGCTCTTAAGATGGCAGATGTGTGATTTGGAGCCTCCTGAGGTCAACTAGCATCACTGCCACCTGCTCAAATAAACAAACCAACAGCAGAGAACATGAATCAAACTGTTCCTGACAGCCTTTGTGTACAAACTCCTCTTCACCGCTGAGATTGAAACACACCCTCATAATGCTGCTCGCGTCTGTCGGCCTGTATCACACTCAGGAATCAGCTGAGCCGAAGCACACAAACCAACAACGCAGTAGTTTGGCTGGAACATCGAAATTCGCCCAATAAAAACAGCTGTTTAACAGCATTTTCTATGATTATTACAGTTCATCAAACAGAACATGTTGCAGCTTTTCCTGTCTGAGAGGAGAACAAACAGGATAAAAAGACTGAAGGTAAATCTGCTTTAATTGCTCGGCTGTTGTGTCAGACGAGATTGAAAAACGCCGACGTGTTGCAACGCGGCTGCTTTCAGAGGAGAGAACATTTGCACGCGATACAGAACACGTGAAGATTAAAGTAAATGTGTAGAAACTAGTATAAAGAACAGAGTATAAACAACATATTTATCATATATCTTCTGTAAAATCCACATCAGTCTGAGAGATAAAAAGTCCTCTGAAGTTATTAATCTAATTCAATTCAATTTTATTTGTATAGGGCCAATTCATAACAGAAGTTATCTCAGGACACTTTTCAATTAGAGTAGGTCTAGACCGAACTCTTTAAAACATTCTTCAATCTGTACATTACTAATGTACAATCTTCAAAAAATTGTACATTAGGAGTGTATAAATGATCCTGAACAACTCCTACAAACCTCCACATTCCCTGACAGACAGCCACCAGAGTTCAGTTGCATAATGAAAGATTCAAACAGCAGTTTCAATGTGCAGCAGACTTTAATAAAGTCATGTGGCGCCCTCTGATGGTCACTCACCTCTCGACAGCGTCTGCGCTCTGGACTCCCTCCCCACGCCTAAATGTGCATCTCCAAAAGACGGGGTGGCGGCTCCTGCAGAGGACAAACAGGGAACGTACTTTAGATGGATAAAAGTCATTATAAAAGAAGAAATGATTCACTTTTACTTAGATTAAATCAAACAGACTGATGGCTTTAATATGAAACAGTATGTTTTCAATAGGTTGACAATAGATTTTACCAGCAATATTCCCAGACTCAAAATCTCTTTTACAAAAGGATTATAGATTCATACTGTTTGTTTTCTATTCATTCAACACAAATTCTGCATTGAATTAACACTAACAATTATATATTTTAACTTTTATTACAGATAAACGTAACTTAAAGTGGTTAAAGTCAGAATTTTAAAACGGTTTCAGGTTATTAAATCTGACACTTTACTGATTTTCTTTTACATTTTAAATATTTAAAATATGAATATTTTCGGGTAGTTTTTTGGATAAAAACAAGCATTTTGAAGGAGTTTCCTCTGGCTTTGAGGAATGGCGATCAGCATTTTTCATTTTTCAGACCAAATAATCTGCAGATTAATTGATAATAAAATAATCTGTTGTTGCAGCTCCAATAACAGCGGTGGAATGTAACCGAGTAGATTGACTCAAGTACTGTACTTTAAAGAAATTTAAATAAAACATATTACTATGACACAAGCTTGCTGCACCAAAAGATAATTCAAATTAATTAATACATCCCAGAATGCCTTGCTTTGTTTGACCAACAGCACAAAGTCCAAAAGAAAATCAAATCATAAGAGAAAATAAAGAATCTGGAGAGAGAGAGAATACTTTCAGATTTAACTTAACAATAAAAATAACAATAAAGGAGTAATTATCTAAATAAAACTATACAATATAAATATATAATCTCATAACTAAAGAAACAGGTGGATTATTATCATGGTGTAACAGCGCCCTCTACTGGACACTCAGAGGAACTACGACAGACGTGCAGACGCAGCAGGAGTGAAACGTCTTGCAGAGTGAAGGTCACTGACAATCTGGAGGTAAATGTTACACACAGATAAGCAGCTGTGGACACACACACACACACACACACACACACACACACACACACTAAGAGACTAACTGCTTCTAAAACACAAACTCACTGCATCCTGATGCTTTTTATACATTTCATTCAGTGTCTTTAAACTCACATCAGTTCTTCCTTTAAATTAAACGTAAATCAACACTTCTGTAGGTGGACAAACTTTAAAAAAGATACAAGTGTTTGTTGCGATTTGTTGTTTTTTTGTTTGTTTTTTGATAGTTTTTGAAAAAAACACTAAAACTAAACAAAAATTATTTAAAAACAAACCAGACAGGAAGTTAAAAAGCACAATCAATCTGATTGAATTAATAGAATAACAGAGAATAATAGTTAAAAATAGTTTGTAACGTTTTCATTAAACAGTCTCAACTCAAGATCAACTTACTAGCTTGTTCCGGAGCTTTTAACCCTGTAACACGGTCTTCATCAGTGACCGTCAGCTGTCACAGACAGACGATAGACTTTAACTTTTACGACTGAAAACGAGGACGAAAACTCCTAAAACTGCGATAAAAAGTGAACAAACTCTGTCCACCAACGAAAACCACGTGATACGGTTGAAAGCTCGACAACCAACGAGTAAGTGGACTTTGAGTTGAAATTAAAGTTTTTGTTGGCAGAAATGTTTCATTCTTGTGCATCAGCGGCCGAAGTCACAACATCGGTCTTCATTCCAGTGAAATCTTTAACAGATAATCAATAAAGATCACTAAAGATCATGCTGACGTATAACCGTTACACCTGACAGTGTCTGAATCCTTCTTAAACTTTGTCCCTGTGGGCCACCGTACACTCTCTCTGATCATAAGTGAATTAAATCACATTAAATGAGGCTGTTTTTCTCATAACTTGATTTTATTTACAAAACTGTCCTAAAAATACTCCATTACAAGTAAACGTCCTTCATTGAAAATGTTACTTAAGTAAAAGTATAAATCAGGAAAATCTACTAAAAGTATTAAAAGTAAGTAATAAAGGGAGTAATAAACACTATCATATTATTATATTAGATTATATTAGATTATATCTGATATCATTAGATTATTATGACTGATGCATTAACACTCTGAACTTTGGACCTCCGCCGTCGACGTTTGTTATTTTTGTTGACTGACTGACGTCGATTCTTTAGAGTATCTTGAAATGATTCACATCCTTAAAATCTGCACAACCTCAGGTCAAAAGGTCAAAGGTTATAGGAGTAACATGTAGTGGGACAGGTAGAATTGAGTACAAGCACCTTAAATTTCTACTTAAAGCCCCAACAAGGTACTGTCATTAGGTTGTTTTTTCATTGATTCTGGCGACCCCTGTGGACGAAAGCGGTAGTGCAAGGGGAACGGCATTAAGAATAACTCTATTAGGAAAAACTAATCTTCTTGCTGATGTTTATTTATAAAAGGTCATTTAGAGGCATCAGGATCAAACTGAGGTTGTTTCATAACCAGTTAAAACGTATCCAGACGTCTTTTTCCTCGTTCTCACCTTCCGAGGAGATGAACTGTCCGACGGCCAGCGATCCGCCTCCCGAGTCCACAAACTCCACCTCGGACACGATGATGTTGTCCTCCAGCACGGAGCCGCAGCCCATACAGACGGCATCGCCGCGGGCCGCGTCCACATCGATTTCGGTGCTGCCGCAGTTCTTACACACCTTGGAGCTCATGGTGACGCAAGGCCTGATGGGAAAAAGACAAAAAGGGTCACAATGTTGTTGTTTTGCTATATTTTCTATAAGTATGGTTTATTTTTGTTTTTTATACCATTCAGCTTTAATGGGAAACTTATTGTTATTATTTTCTCCATCAATTAATCTGTTGATCACTTTCTCCATTAATCAATAAGCTGTTTGGTCCATAAACGTCAGAAAATGTTGATCACGGTTTCATAAAAACCAATAAGACGTCTTTTATATGTAGAAATATTCAGTTTACACTCTTAAAAAGGACTAAAGAAACCGTTAAATATTCACATTTAAGAAGACGAAATCAGAGAATTCACTCAAATCGATTCATCAATTATTAAAATAGAATGATTTTAGTTAATAAAAAGGACAACAAATCGATTGATCAGCTCATCGTTGGAGCTCTACACCCGCACACAAACCTCCAAGTGCTCCTGATGGCAAGAAAGAAAACCGATTGTCTCATTTCCAGGTCGTCAAATACACTTTTGGGGTTCTCACAAACGTCATTAGGAGCTCTACAACGAGCCAGAGGAAGCTGATTCATTCACAGATTATCTGTCTCGTGGACCACAGTCAGAATAAAGTGAAGATTTCAGTAAATATGACCAAAAATATTTCATTAAAAATGACCTACTGCAGCTTTAAAGCACCACTAACAATCTAATAATGGAGGATTAAATATACTGTAACTCATCACAGGGGTAATATCTCTGTATAATGAACACTGTATGCACATTTTCCTCTTTATACTGACATTTAGAAACATATTGTAGGACTAAAAAGCTCTACCTCCACCAGCTGCAACAGAAAAAAACACTGCTGACCCCTGAACGCATCACCAATCTACTAATGAGCATCACAAACAGCCTGTAGCTTAAAAACTGTATGTTCTCCTCATTACAGTGGCATTAAGCAGCATGCTGCAGGGCCTCTCCTTGCTCCAGAGCTTTAGTACTGTCAGTACTGTGAGTGAAATAAAGCTCAGACCCTGCAGCAGTGATTGTGCACAACTCTGCTCCCATTAGCCGGCTAGCGACGTGGCACTGCCCGGCTACCCGGCGGCTAGCTCTGCCTTGCCCTAACCAGCCTGTGAGACATTATCCAGGCTATAAAAAAAAAACACAAAACCAAATACATTCACTTTTCCTCCTCACACAGCTTTAATTCATCAATGAACACCGTCTTTAACGGAGCAGCGGGCTCACATGGAGCAGCTGAGGGAAGCTAACGGAGCTAACCGGGAACACAACGACCCTCAACGGGCGTTTTTACCCGACATGACCGAGCTGTACGTTTATTAAAGGAAAGCAGCCTCCCAGGTGGTAACCCCCCCCCCACTGACAGTGCGTGGTGTCGGTGTACAGACCTTCAGTCCCCCGGTGAAGTGAACCAGTAGCCGCCTGTCTTCCAGCCTCCTCCTCCTCCTCCTCCTCTTCCTCCGCAGTGTTTTCCTTTAATTAAAATGTCTTCAAGTGTTCCTCGGTGGCTGAGAGGTGTTTATCGCATCGTACCTGCGGTCTGTGTTCAGCAAACAGCGGTCTGACAGCGCACACACGTGTTTCAAGCTGCTGTAATCTCTGCTGCAAACACAACACACCCAACATGTGCGTCTGCTGCCCGGCGGAGGGGGACGCGGGCGAGACCAACTCGAAGCACCGGAGGGGTGGCGCGCTGTCAACGTGTTGTTGGATTTAAGCGGTAGGGATTAATGTAGGGGGGGGATTTTAGAAACATGAGGTGAAATTGTGTTTTTTGTTTTGTTTCGGGTTGTTTTGGGGATGTAAAATCATCTTTACACGATAAATGTGTAGTTGAACAGAAACGGAAACCCCCCACTGAAGAGATGGCACTTCTTCTGTCGCTCCTTTTAAATAGACAGTGAGGTTTAATGTTAAATACACACATTAAAACACAGTATTTCTACTTTACTACTAATTTTATGCTATTTTATACTTTATTGTGGAGTTTTTCAAAACAGTCTGACAACTTGAGAAACGAGGAAACACGGTGTTTACAATAAAGATACACACTGTGTTTCTGGTAAGAGGAGGAGTTCAGTCTGCATTGTCGTCAGAGCAGACGGAGAACAAGAAAGCAAGAGGCAGGGTGAGTGTTAATACAACATTATTATTGTTTTACGGTCAAAGATTCATCTGTTCATCTGTGGATACAGCGGCATTGGCTGAATAATACACATTAAACTTAACCTAACCCAAGAAAACAAGCACAGATTTAAAGAAAACTGAGCAGGATGGATTCTTTTTACTGTGTGTGTGTGTGTGTGTGTGTGTGTGTGTGTGTGTGTGTGACTTGGGAACAGTTGGTCACTCGAATTAGACTGTACACATGTAGCTGTGTGCAGAGTTTCTGTTTACTGCCCTAACAACACAGCAGATTAAGATTCTGTTCAGTACTTTTACCTACATGGCCTGGCTCCACTTCACATCTCAGGACCTTTAAACTCTCCCTGAAAACAAAGGGTGATCATACTTTCTCTGTTATAGCTCCAAAACTGTGGATCAATCTCGCCCTCAGTGTCCAGTCAGCTGAGTCAGCGCCTACGTTTATAAATACACTTGTACACACCCGCTTTTGTATGATATTTTATTATTATTGAATGTTTTTTTTAATTGTTATTTAACTCTACTTTCAATTGTTGAAATTTCAATTTTATTTTCTAGTTAACTTTGTTTTCATATGCTATCTTTGCACCTTGAAACTCTGGTTTTGAGGGGCACTGTAAAATGTATTATTATTATTTTATTACACAATTATTACACTTCAATGAATATTACAAATAATATAATAATAATAATAATTAAAATGCAAAAACATCCTTTTAGACTGACAATGGCTACACAGCGTTTTCTGCTTCCATCTTGAACACTGTGATTCTCATTAACCACATATAACCACAGAGTAACTTTTGAGTCCCTATACAACTGGTTGTTTATGTGCAGCTGCAGTGAGGTACCTGCATGTAGTTTCCGGTGCTCCTTCATAAGCACTTAAATTCAGGAGGAAAATGACCATTCATTCCCAAGGATGTATCCCCTGTCCTTACTTTTAACTAATTATCTTTCTTTACGATGTTCAAATTGAGTCACAATCGCCTATCACTAGAAACTTCTCCCCCTTCTGTGCACATGAGAGAAAGTGATGCTCCAGTCGGGACAAGCTGTTTTGCTTGGAGAGGGTTTGGAAACAGGATCTTTCACAGTTGTTCCCAAAGTTGATATCTTTCTGAGACATGTTCCTGCTAGCTTTTAGAAAGCTCACCTCAGTAAATCTCTCCAGCTCTTCAGTAGACCCACTGGAATCCAAATTGTTGTGGTCAGAGTTCAAACCAGCCTTGTAGTTTTGGGCCTGGTACATACAATGGAAGCAGCAGAAGGACTCTCAGCAGGAGTTGGTCGGGGCAGGGGGATCAAAAATCACTTCTTGAAATTGCCATCCATTATTTTTGACATCTTGGTAGTATGATATTAAGAACACTCAAATTATATTGCGTAAAAATCATTGAGAGATATCAAGATATATTTAACAATTTGAAGGATGTGGAGCTCATACAAATGGAAGCTAGATTGGAAAAAGAAGGGAAAGACGAGGACAGAGCAGAGTGTCCAGGATTCAGCAGTCTATCTATGAAGAGTGACTGGTCCAAAAGTGAACCTCCAGACTTCAGTAATGAACCTGGACCCTCAGACACACAGTAAGACAACTACCACTTAAAGTTTATATAATTATATCATTAACATTTTATAATTTTAATGACGTTTAAAAAGTGGGGTTGTGTTAAACATGAGGAATAGACAATTACATATTAAAGGTTCTAAATGTAACTTTCATTAAAGTTACATTTTACTGTTGTTAACAGTGACACCAATGGCTGTTAACAAAACTACAGTCATCCTGTTGCTCGCACTCCGTCTGTAAGTGACAAACACTAGACTGACAATCATATTAAGAATAACGTTATTATTAATTTTAGAAAGCCATCGTTAGCTTTGTACCGCTACATCATTTATTGTTGGTAAGCAAGTTGCTTCAGGCCCATTCATAGTGTGTCTGTTGGAGTAAGTCACTCCAAAATGTGTGTGCAAAATGTGTTTGGTTGCTATTGAAGAAATAAATTCCTGAACATCGTGTAATAACGGGTGTCTTATAATCAGGTTAATGTGGTATAAGAGTTATAACCTGCTAAAAAGTTTATGTTTTGTGCTCCTGTTTGTTTGTTTGCCTTTTTAAAAATTAAAATTATTTGTTCACTAAAATATAACGATGCAAACTGTGACTCAGTTAAACATCTTTATCAACAGCATAATGGAAATAACAGTTTGATCTCTGCAGTCAGTGTGTCTTCAGGCTGCAGCTGATGGGACATTTTTGGTGCAGATTGTTGTCTGATCAAGAAGACAATATATCAGATATTATGATTAAGTAAAAGTCCAACTGTTTGTTTTTTTATTGAAATATGACTGATTTCTGAGTTATTTTCCTTTTTAGATGTGTTTTGTGCCAGGACGTCCTGAAGGATCCAGTCTCTGAACTCTGGTTCCGCATCACCTCATACTGGGACCAGTCTGCTTCATCAGGAGACTCCTCCTGTCCCCAGTGTGGAAAAAGATCCAGAACAAGAGCTGGACTGCAGACAGCCAGTCAGACCAGCACTGTACAAGGTGACTAAAAAATTCAAAAACATTTTTATTGATTCAGATTCTGGTTCTCAGTTTAGTCTCAGAATATTTCTCATCTTTTTCAGCAGGTGGTGGTCTTCAGGAGGTTTTAGATGAACATAAGATCAGTCTGAGGAGTAGATGTAAACATGTGACTGAAGGAACTGACGAACCAGGAAGTGGAACCCTCCTCAACAGGATCTACACTGAGCTCTACATCACAGAGGGACAGAGTGAAGAGGTTAATACCCAACATGAGGTGAGACAGCTTGAGACAGCTTCCAAGAAGAAGATCCTCCATGATGCTCCAATCAGGTGCCACGAGATCTTTAAAGCCTTACCTGACCAACAGAGACACATCAGAGTGGTTCTGACGAACGGCGTCGCTGGCGTTGGAAAAACCTTCTCAGTGCAGAAGTTCACTCTGGACTGGGCAGAGGGCTCGAACAACCAAGATGTCAGTCTGCTGGTTCTGCTTTCGTTCAGGGAGCTGAACCTGATCAAAGATGAGCAGTACAGTCTTCTCAGGCTGCTCCATGTTTTCCATCCAACATTACAGAAGGTCACAGCAGAGCAGCTCGCTGTCTGTAAACTTTTGTTCATCTTTGACGGCCTGGATGAAAGCAGACTTTCACTGGATTTCCACAACAATGAGGTTGTGTCTGACGTCACACAGAAGTCTTCAATCAACGTGCTGTTGACAAACCTCATCAAGGGGAATCAGCTTCCCTTGGCTCTCGTCTGGATAACTTCCAGACCTGCAGCAGCCAATCAGATCCCTCCTGAATGTGTTGACAGGGTAACAGAAGTACGAGGCTTCACTGACGCCCAGAAGGAGGAGTACTTCAGGAGGAGAGTCAGTGATGAAGATCTGTCCAACAGAATCATCTCACACATCAAGACCTCCAGGAGCCTCCACATCATGTGTCTAATCCCAGTCTTCTGCTGGATCACTGCTACAGTTCTGGACCACATGTTGACTACAGACCGGAGAGGAGAGCTGCCCAAGACCCTGACTGACCTGTACTCACACTTCCTGCTGGTTCAGACAAAGAGGAAGAAGCAGAAGTATGATAAGAGACATAAGAAGAGTCCACAGAAGATGACGAAGGCTGACAGGAAGGTTCTTCTGAAGCTGGGGAGGCTGGCATTTGAACAGCTGCAGAAAGGAAACATCATGTTCTACCAAGAAGACCTGGAGCAGTGTGGTCTTGATATCACAGAGGCCTCGGTGTACTCAGGAGTCTGTACAGAGATCTTCAAAAGAGAGAGTGTGATCTTCCAGAAAACAGTCTACTGCTTTGTTCATCTGAGCATTCAGGAGTTTCTGGCTGCAGTCTACATGTTCCACTGTCACACCAACCGGAACACAGAGGTACTGGAGGACTTCCTGGGAAAAGAATATGTTAAACCATATCTGGATTACACGCTTGGAAAATATTTTAATGGCTTTCTGGATGACATGCAAGGAAAAGATGTTGATCAATCTCTGGATGCCATTCGAGGAAAACCTGTTAATCCATATCTGGATGTCTTCCTGAAGGCAGCAATGACGAAATCCCTGAGGAGTAAAAATGGCCACCTGGACCTGTTTGTTCGTTTCCTTCATGGCCTCTCTCTGGAGTCCAACCAGAGACTCTTAGGAGGCCTGCTGGGTCAGACAGACAGCAGTCCAGAAAACATCCAGAAAGCCATCAACAACCTGAAGAAGATGAACAGTGATGATATCTCTCCTGACAGAAGCATCAATATCTTCCACTGTCTGATGGAGATAAACGACCACTCAGTCCATCAGGAGATCCAAGAGTTCCTAAAGTCAGAGAACAGATCAGAGAAGAGACTCTCTGCGTCCCACTGCTCAGCTCTCAGCTACATGCTGCAGATGTCAGAGGAGGTTATGGATGAGTTGGACCTGCAGATGTACAACACAACACAGGAGGGACGACGGAGACTGATTCCAGCTGTGAGGAACTGCAGAAAGACTGTGTAAGTCCAGATGTGATTAACATTATAAAGCAATGCTGAAGTCATCACTATTAGAGTCAGTATACACACTTTACATACTCACAATACAAACCTTCCACACGATAAAAGTTTTTTCTAAACTAGTATTAAACCTGCTTATTGAATACATCAGATATGTGTTAAACTACAAATGTCCTAAATGCAATCTTCTAGTATCTTCTATCATCTTCTGTCTTTCTTTGGGTGATGGAGTTTCGATACAAATCAGACAAACTTGAAGGCTCGAGAGTTTTTACAGTACATACAGTGTGTGCAATGTGTTTCTGTCATAATTTATTGCGCGTCTACATTGCTTTGTACGGTATAACGTGTGGATCTGTACTCACATGGCCACAAGGGTTGTTTAAAAGACATTTTCTGTTTTTTTCTTATTTTCTTTTGTTGAAATACATGTTTCATTACTTTCTTAGTTTTTCACTACAGATATTTAATAGTTAGATTAGATTCAAATATCCGCACACTGTCTAACTTGCAATATTACATTTTAAAACGTTTGAGTACAAATGGTTCATGACAATGTGGAGCCATCTTAAATAGGGAGCAGCTACAAAGATATGATGTTACTAAGGTCAATTTTCCAGCTCTTTTTATTTGATTTGGAGGCTGTCACATTTTAAATTGATGATGTCATTAATGGCTTCCTACTGCATGTGGGGAATGATTATTATGCATATTTTATTTTATATATATAAATACATATATATATAAATATGTACATGCATAACCATACCCAATCATATGTACCTAGGAGCATATAAATACAAACATAGGGAAGATAAAATAAGACGGAAAGGATAAATTAAAAGAGAGACGACAGATGAGAAAACAAACAAGAATGAGATCTATAAAAAGGCTTGCCTATAGAGGTGACCTGCAGTGGCCAATATGTGGGACCAGTCCACTATTTCATAAATATCCTGATCTCATAATCATAAGATCTTTTTTTGTAATTACGAAATAGTAACTGATAATTATGGCATGTTTTTTTCTTTTGTGAAGGTAATGTGCTTCCGTAGCTGTTTACATTTCCCCAGATCCAAATAAAAAATATTATTACTAGGGCTGGGACTTTATCGCGTTAATTGTGATTAATTAATTATAGAAAAAATAACGTGACAAAAATAACGCATTTAATCGCAATTTATTTTTGCACTCCAAACAGCGCGGAACGTTGCTCGTTGCAGGACACAACACGAGAAATGGAAACCGATGAGAAGTCGTTTCTGGGTTCGGTGGGCAGAAATTTTTGTTTTAAAAAACTACTGGGTGAAAACCTGGACAAAAGCACAGTTGTGTGCAAATTGTGCAAGAAAGAATTTGCCTATCACCGGAGCACTTCCAGCCTCCGCTACCACTTCAATGCCAAACATGTTGCAGCTAGTACAGACAACGCTCCTAGTTCGAGCAGGTTTTTTATGTTAATAAACAAAAACAAATGTGTTTAAGACATAGAAAGTTTACAAAAAGTCCTGAAAAAGCTTGAATATAGCTAACTTGAATTTAAGTTTGTGCCTTGTGAATAATGCAATCATAATATTCTTTATTCATATTGCACTTCATGTTAACACTCAGTGATGAAAATAAACACGATGTTGTTGTTTAAGCTCATTTATGTGTCTATTCATTGATTCAGTCACATACCAAAATCCATTTGAATTGAAAAATGTTGCTTCTAGTGTCAAATATTGATATGCGATTAATTTAGATTAATTAATTGCAAAGCCTCCAATTAATTAGAAATTTTTTTTTAATCGAGTCCCACCACTAATTATTACTTTACTATTACGCGTAACTATTACTACCATTACTTTACTGGGTTTACAGTTATATATGTAAATAACGGTGTATGTAGTTTTATTTAATTTTATTCTAATATATAAATGTAATATTTGTATGTCCTGTGTGTGTGTAGCATGAAGGGGCTACAACTTGCTATGTTAAATATGAATGTTGAATGATTTCTGTGTGCTTGTGTCTTTCTTTACTTTGTGATCTAAATGCAATCAGATTTTATTTTAAAAGTTATATGCTCTGCTTTCACAGACTTTCTTACTGTGGACTCTCAGACATTCACTGTGAAGTTGTGGTCTCAGCTCTGAAGTCCAACCCCTCCCATCTGAGAGAGCTGGACATGAGTAACAACAACCTGCAGGATTCAGGAGTTGAGCTGTTGTGTGCTGGGTTGGAGAGTCCACACTGTAGACTGGAGACTCTGAGGTCAGTTTATGTGTTTGCTCTGTGTATATCTACCAAATGTGTTTTTCTGGGTTTGTCTCAGCACAACAGCTCTTGTTTTAAAGTCTGTCAGTCTGAGTGATTTGGCTCCAGATTTCGTCTGTACTCAAACTGGATTGGTGTTAGTAAGAAAAATGTAGGATTTATTCTACAATGTGCTGCAGAATGAAATGAGTATTTAGTGAAACACTCAGGGCTGAGGACACGTTCACTGTGTGTAGTACGTGAGCATCCATCTGAGTCAGTGAATCATTGCACGTTGGCTGTGATTCAGTACTGTTTGTTCACCCAAAAGATTAGTTCATTCAGACGAAACATATAAATGTAATGTGATCTCTTATTCAACACACTGCGAGTTCTCAAACAATTTAAACTTTATTCCACACTGAGGATTCAACCACATAGATTTTATGTGGATCCACAGTGAGCATCTTGTTGAGCTTCATCCTTAAAACATATTTAATATCACATTAATAATTCAACAGTGGTTCATTCTCTTTTAACCTCTTAGTGGTTTAATTTTCACCTTTCCCTCATTTGAATGAAACAGAAACGTGTTTTATTCTCGATCAGACAGGAACAAACATAAATGAAAGTAAATTGTTCAAAATTGAACCCCAAATCCCACAAAGCGGTTTCTGGAAGAACCTTCACACTGGACATATTGTCACTAACTGTTCTTTTTATTGTTTCCATTAAAAATGACACAACATGTACATTTAATAACAGATAACAGATGTATATTGAAAAACAATTACTAATAAACTGAATGATTGAATGATTTCAAGCAGGAACATTGTCTTCTAAACTCACATCTTTTATTCTTTATTCAGATTGAGTGGCTGCAGTTTGTCAGAGATCAGCTGTGATTATCTGGTCTCAGCTCTGAAGTCCAACCCCTCCCATCTGAGAGAGCTGGACCTGAGGTACAACAAGTTGCAGGATTCAGGAGTGAAGCTTCTGGGTGGTTTTCTGGAGAGTCCACACTGTAGACTGGAGACTCTGAGGTTAGTAGAAAGTCTGAGTCAGTCCATGCTGGTTCCGGCAGTATTGGACTAATGTGAAGACGACTGCTGTTGTTGTGTTCATGTGTTCAGGAAATAAAGCTGGATTCCAGCTGACAGCATTACAAGATGTATAGAGACAGTGGTCCTTCATCCAGTCTGATCGCACAGTGATCAGTTGGTCTTTGTCACAGCTCTGAGATCAGTCTGACTGAAGCCTGCAAACAATCATTACATTTAGTGACCATGTGGTCTTTGTACAGACCAGGAACTCTGCTGGAGTCCAGTACCCACAGCTGATGTGTTGCTGTTCAGTCTTTGTATGAACATGTAGGACCTCAGCTTTGGACCTTGACAGCAGTAAATGCATCATTCCAGTGGGCAGTGAATGTCTCTCTGTTTCTGCAGTAATGATGTGTTCAGACCCTGCTGCTCTTTATACTGGATGTGCTGATGGAGGGAGTTTCTGTAAACACTGATTTATCTCTGCTGTTGTCTTCTCTCATCAGATGGAAGTGATCTCAGTCAGACTGTGAGTGGCGAGGAAGGAGGTTGTGTTGGAGGATCAGCTGTGTCCTGATGATCCAGAGAGGTTGAAGAAGCAGCATCAGCTCTGACTGGGCCATGTTACTGGGAGGTAGAGTGGAGAGGAGAGCTTCATCCAGCAGTGACTGACAGAGGAATCACAACCAGTGAAGATGACTCTCAGTGCTGCAGTCTGAACTGCTCTGAGATCAGCTCCACTGTGATCATGTGACAGAGAATATAATAGTGTATGTGGGTGGCTGTGCTGCCGCTGTGTCCGTCTACACTACAGTCTCTGCAGACACACTGAGACTGCTCCACTCCTCCTGCTCCACACTCAACCAACTCCTCCATCCGGAACCTGGAGCCTGAACTTTCTTCTTTTCTTCATTCAGATATTCTGAACCCAAAGTGGCTATACAGTTAATCCAAATGACAGCTTCTGGAAAGTTTCCGCTTTCTTCTACATTTTGGGACTATGAACATGACTATAATATAGAACTATAATCCAGAAAGAAGAAGCAAATCAATTTAGAGCCCAAAGTACTAAAGATAGAAACAACAGAGACATAAAATAAAAAATACAATGTAACAATAAGTTGAAAAAAAAAAGAATAAATAAAGTTAATATAAAAAATAAACACCAAGCATGTAAAACATTACTTTAAACGAAAGCCAGGTTAAAAATACAATACTTTTACTTCAGTAAAGGATCTGAATAATGCTGAGATTAGAGAGATTGGGAGGACACTTTAATTCCCATATATCCGACAGCATGGACCGCGGAACGCATCTGAACAAAGGGGGGGCATAATTTAAAGTCATGCGGAGGAGGTGGGGGGGCATATGCATTGAAACAGACAATATTACTGATGTATTAAATAACATTGTGGAGCACTTTTTTTATTCTGACACCACACAGTCACATCTACAGTACATGCATGATGAACACGCACACATGCTTACTCAGATTAACCCCTCTGATCCCACTCTAACATTCACACACAACAGGCCTGTTTATTTGTAAAAAAATCGGATATTGACTTGTGCCCGCCGTTAGCTTGCGACGATGCTCACACATGAAGTAGTTGATAAACAATGCACACTAATTGCAAATCAAAATGCAGCAGTCAGTGGGAGTTTTTTATCGGCAGCAGTTGGTGGGAGTGAGTGAAGGTGTGTGGTGAGTATTGTTTGGCTCGTAAAAACACAGATACAACTTAGGCTTTTATTCATACAAAATAGTTTGTCAGAGTACAAAAGTTACCCGGGCCGTGGCCCCCCTGACCCCCCCGGTTCCGCTGTCTATGTCCGACAGCATTGAAAGCAGCATTTGGAGTGAACTGGAGAACTCTCACAGTCAGTCAGTTAATTCAATTCAATTCATACCAGAAGTTATCTCAGGACACTTTTCAAATAGAGAAGGTCTAGACCGAACTCCTTATAACATTTACAGAGACCCAACAGTACCACCATGAGCAAGCACTTGGCGACGGGGGCAAGGAAAAACTGCCTTTTAAGAGGCAGAAACCCAGGACAGACCCTTCAGCTCTAGGTGGGTCGTCGTCTGTCTCAACCATTTGGGATGAGAGAGAGAGAGAGAGAGAGAGAGAGAGAGAGAGAGAGAGAGAGAGAGAGAGACAGACAGACAGACAGACAGACAGGTGCACAGCAACAACGGTAGAAACAACTACACTAATAGTAGTGACTGATGATGATGAACAGCAACGATGGGGGACAATGAGAAGTGACAACAGCAACAACAGTAACCGTAGCCATAATAATACTTATAATAATAATAATAACACTAATATCAGTGATATTAGCAATGGCAGTCAAGCAGGACCATGGCAGGAGGCCCGACCAGGATCCATGAGAACCTGTGAGACGAGAAAGCACAAGAACTCAAGAAGTGAAGTTAGTAACATGCATTAATGGGACATGAATGAGTGCAGAAAGAGAGAGGAAGAGAGGAGCTCAGTGCACCATGGGAAATCCCCCGATAGTCTAGGCCTATAGCAGCATAACTAAGGGATGGTTCAGGACTCACCTGATCCAGCCCTAACTATAAGCTTTATCAAAGAGGACCGTCTTAAGCCTACTCTTAAATGTGGAGATGGTGTCTGCCTCCAGAACCACAACTGGAAGCTGGTTCCACAGGAGAGGAGCTTGGTAACTGAAGGCTCTGGCTCCTGTTCTACTTTTAGAGACTATAGGAACCACAAGTAGCCCAGCATTCAGAGAACGAAGTGGTTTTAGTGGGGTAATAGGGTACTATGAGCTCTTTAAGATATGAAGGGGCCTGACCATGAAGAGCTTTGTAGGTGAGGAGGAGGATTTTGAATTCTATTCTGTTTTTTACAGGGAGCGAATGCAGAGAAGCTAGTACAGGAGAGATGTGATCTCTTTTCCTAGTTCCTGTCAGTACTCGTGCTGCAGCGTTTTGAATTAATTGGTGCGTTTTAATGGACTTATTGGGGCAATCTGATAAAAAAGAATTGCAGTAATCCAGCCGTGAAGTAACAAATGCATGGATTAGTTTTCTGCATTAGTCTGTGATAGAATGTATCTACTTTTTCTAATATTACGTAAATGAAAGAAGGCAGTCCTAGAGGTCTGCTTTATGTGGGAATTAAATGACAAATCCTGATCAAAGATAACTCCAAGATTCCTGACAGTGGTGCTAGAGGCCAAGGTAATGCCATCTAGAGTAGCTATATCTTTAGACAGTGAGTCTCAGAGTTTTCTTGGGCAAGTACCAGAATTTCGTTTTTTTCTGAGTTTAACATCAGAAAATTGCAGCTCATCCAGGTTTTTATGTCCTTAATACATGTTTGTATTTTAGATAATGATTAATTTCATTGGGCTTGATCGATAGAAATAGCTGGGTATCATCTGCATAACAATGAAAGTTAATGGAGTGATTCCTAATAATGTTGCCTAAGGGAGCATATATAAAGTGAATAGAATTGGTCCAAGTACAGAACCTTGTGGAACTCCATGACTAACTGTAGTATTTATGGAAGTTTCATTGTTAACGTGTACAAACTAAGATCTAATAATACAAGTACAGAGACAAGTCCATTGTCGGAAGCAGTCAAAAGGTCATTATTAACTTTAACCAGGGCTGTCTCTGTGCTGTGATGAACTCTAAGTCCTGACTGAAAATCCTCAAATAACTTTAGGGTACTGGGTTGCAGTGACAAATCAGAATCAGAATCAGAAATACTTTAATAATCCCAGGGGGAAATTATTTTCGTTACAACACTCCAGATATACAAACAACATATTATACAAACAACATATATATATACAACATTCAGCACAAAAAATATAAATATATATATATATAACTATATATATATATACAAGATCAAATGTACAGTATTAATGTGCAAAAGTGCAAAAGAATAATTGTCTACGTTTTGAGTCAGAATTACAGAGGGGGGGTGTCTGACTCTCTAAGGGAGGCGTTATAGAGATTGATGACCACAGACAGGAATGATTTCCTGTGGCGCTCTGTGGTGCATCTGGGTGAGAGGAGTCTTCTGCTGAAGGTGCTCCTCTGCTGGGCCAGTGTGTCGTAGAGAGGGTGAGAGACATTGTCCAAGATGGACTGAAGCCTGGACAGCATCCTCCTCTCTGCCACGGTCGTCAGGGTGAAAGAAATGACCCTGACGTGATATGAACACGCAATCTGAAACATGTTACATCCCCTCGCTGTAACCTGGTTCTTCATTTCTGTAATGCATATAGAGGTTGTCCAGCTGCCTGTTGGATAGAGAGAATAAATGGTTTTTCAGAATCTGTTTGGTTTGTTCTGTCGGCTCTGAACCTGTCAGTATGTTGCTGTGGGGGTTGAACTAAATCAGGGTGTAACTCTGTTCTTATTATTGTTGGATACCAACCTGGTGTCTCAGTACAGGTGAACTGGTTTCACTTCTGTGTGTCCTGTACCTGTGACGCAGTGTGTTTTTCATCATCTAAAGGTAAAGTAACTACATGTTTTCTATACTTTAATTCAATTCATCATCAGGCTCCATGTATCATTTCTGTAATCTGATAATTTAACTCAATTTGAACAATTTAAAAACAGAACAACGGGTCAGAATTTAGTTTTTTGTGTCTAAAAACAGAAAATTAATGTCTTCTTCTTATTGTTTCTTCTTGGAAAGTTTAGTTATTTCAATTATTTTGTTTAACTTCAACACAATAATCTTCTTTTGACAGTTATTTCTGTGGTTTAAATGAGAAAAAATTCGACAAGAAAAAGTCACCATGCAGCAAAGACAAATAAAAATTACAATTCAAAACATTTAAAACTGCATTATAGCTAAATATTTATCACAGCTGACAATCGAGCTTCCTGGAACTTCCTGATGCCAAATACCTTTGTGTCCACAAATGCTGTTCAGCCAGTTTAAATGTGAAAGTAGAAATCTATAATGAAACACTTTGTTCAGACAATAAAGGAAACACAATCACAGTGTAAAACTAAAGTGTTGAATGTAATTAAACTAGTAGTTTAACTATATTCAACACTTTAGCTTTGAAGAGTTTAGTCACAGATCCCCCATCTTAACTCAAACCTCTGTGTGTGTGTGTGTGTGTGTGTGTGTGTGTGTGTGTGTGTGTGTGTGTGTTTGTGTTACAGCCCGTACTCGCCAGGAGTCAGTATGACTATAGAGCGCTACAGGTCAACATTCAGAGATGGATTATTACCCAATGACCCTTCTACAGTGTAAGCCATCATTGTGTTACTTTATCACTTTAATATCTATGTTAGCTAACACGCTGCTATTGCTGTGTGATCTGTTTAGACAAATACTTGCTGTTTGTCAGTGTTTGACACTAATTTAATTTCACTTGTATCCACACTGACAGACACTAAAGTCAAATCAACTTCCTTTTTTGGAAGATCAACAACTGTAAATATTATAATATATAGCCTTCAAAATATTTCCATTGTCTATGATTATTAGTTATTAAAACTTTCTCTATGAAATGTGTCATATTGGTAACCATCTCCTGTATTTGAAGCTCCAATCACTGTAATTAGACACATAATGAGATTATAGTAGGTGGTGAACAGGCTGGTAGGACCGGAGGTAAACATTTTAAAGAAAGACACTCCTCTCCTAAAAAGAAGAGTTTACTGACATTAAAATGTTGATTCATTTATCAACATTTAGTACAGACACACATTACATGTAGAAGCTCTTTTGTCTTTTTCCACTCACTGTTCTCATATTTGAAATCCTGTTTCTTTAGTTTTTAATGTTTATTTTCATACTGATGAAGGAGTTTCATAACACTGTTTATTACTTTCTGCAGGAAGAAGTATGAAAAAGTACTGTGAGTATAATCTGTTAACTTCATGAAGATTCTTTCACACATAATATATTGATGAAGCTGTGAACATCATTAAAACCTCTTTAGTTTAGTTACATTCATCTTTTCTGTCACTTGTATCTGTTGTATCCACACTGACACTGAAGTTCAATGAACTTTATTTTATTGAAGATCAACAACTGTAAATATTATAATATAAAACCCTCATAATGTTCCTGTTGTCCTAGAATAATCTAATAATAATTCATGTTAAAGTGAGAAGTAGAGGAAACTACTTTAAAAAGAGGAGAGAAATCAGTCTAATTATCCAGTCTGGGACGATAAACAATGATTATTAGTTAGTAAAACTTATGGAGGAGAAATTCTTCCAAATATTGAGAGTTGTTAGTTCTCTGAAGAATTATGAAGCCAGTGTGATGAATCAAGTCCCTTTATTACATGCAGCATGGAGAGAAGACCTCAGCATGGATGTTCTCTCTCTCCACTTCCAGAATGATCTCCCTTATATACCATCCAGTACATCCAAGAACCCCTGGTGCCATATTAACAGAACCACTGTAAATCTCATGTGAAGGTTTTAGTTCTTCAACACAAATGGTTCTGTGATCTGACCCTGTGACTGTAAACAATCAATCAATCAATCAATCAATCAATCAATCAATCAATCAATCAACTCAATTTATTGTCCTCCAAGGGAGAAATTCATGTCCAGATCACTGCACCTGCAGGCAACACCATACACTCAACAAAGAAACACGCTATCCACAATTAACAAATCTACAGAAAAAACAAAACAAAAACAAACAAACAATCAAATAAATAATACATGACAGGTTACACACTCAGTGCGCCCCTTTGTTTAAAGCAGCAATAGCTGCAGGGATCAGGCTTTTCCCATAGCAAGCTTTCTTGCACCTCGATGTTCGGTACCTCTGTCCAGAAGGCAGTGGGGTGAGATATTGGTTGAGTGGGTGTGTAATTTCCAGTTCTATTGTGGTTGCAATGTGTGAGATGGCCCTGTTGTTTAGTTCTGTGAAATTGGGTGTGGGAAACAGGAGGAGCAGTATATGAGGATGGGCTGGATGATACTTTGATACAGTAGTTGGAGAAGATGGGGGGAAACATAAAGTCGTTTGAGTTTAGGGATGACAGAAAGTCTTTGCTGGCTCCTTTTGAAGATGTCAGTGGTGTGTAAACAGATTCTTACCAGACATCCTCCTACCCTAAAAAACTCACCCTCTAAACAAACTGAATACATTTACATTATAGTAGGTGGTGAACAGGCTGGTAGGACTGGAAGTAAACATTTTAAAGAAAGACACTCCTCTCCTAAAAAGAAGAGTTTACTGACATTAAAATGTTGATTCATTTATCAACATTTAGTACAGACACACATTACATGTAGAAGCTCTTTTGTCTTTTTCCACTCACTGTTCTCATATTTGAAATCCTGTTTCTTTAGTTTTTAATGTTTATTTTCATACTGATGAAGGAGTTTCATAACACTGTTTATTACTTTCTGCAGGGAGGAGATGAAGAAAAAACAGTGAGTATAATCTGTTAACCTCATAAAGATTCTTTCACACATAATATATTGATGAAGCTGTGAACATAATTAAAACCTCTTTAGTTTAGTTACATTCATCTTTTCTGTCACTTGTATCTGCTGTGTCCACACTGACACTGAAGTTCAATGAACTTTATTTTAATAAAGATGTAAACAACAGTAAATATTATAATATGTAACCCTCATAATGTTCCTTTGTAATGTCAGCAAACTGAAGTTAGCAATTATGACTTATAAAATGGTTGGTTTTTACAATCAGAATCAGAATTATTTTTATTGCCAAGTAGGTTTTTACACCTATGAGGAATGTGTCCTGGTGAAATTGGTGCATAAAATATACAAATACAAATATACAAATATACAAATCACACAAAAATCACACAGAAAAATAAAGTACTTTTAAAAATAGAAATAGATAAAGATAAAAAAGATAAGAAAAGAAAACTGTGCAGAAGACGGGGGTGCATTAATGTAATATGTAATGTAATGTAATGCATACTGTATATACAGGGTGGGTTTAAGAGTCAGTGACAAAGGGGGTACTGGGCTTTGTTAATGAGACCAGCTGCAGATGGGATGAAACTGTTTCTGTGGTGAGAGGTTTTGGTCCTGATGGACCGCAGCCTCCTGCCAGAGGGAAGTATCTCAGAGTCTGTGACCAGGGTGGGAGGGGTCAGCCGCAATTTTGCCTGCACGCCTCAGGGTCCTAGAGGTGTGATGGTACACAGCAGTCCTCGCAGAAGCTGATGTATGATCCAGACTGTTGGTAGCAGTCCTGAAAAAAAATATACCCATCTCACGGTTGTTAAACAACTGTTATGTTAAAGTTAGCTAACATTAGACAATATGCATTATCAGCTGGTGTGTTTCAAGATCGTATTTTTCCCATTGGCTGGCTAGTCCATTTCCTTGTGGAGAACTCTGGGATCTAAATTCACAGGGTGGACTCTGGTGGAATATTTTTCTCTTTTGTTAAAGACGCATATTGTGGTCGCGTTTGCAGATTCTCATATTATAGAAAACTGGACTATTGTCTTTGGCGAAGGTCTGCTCATTATCAGAATATCACCGTTAATCCAGGGGGAGAGTGGATAAAATGTACTTATTATATGGTCTCACACATGGGCGTTGTAAAACCAGAGACAGACACAGACAGAGTCATGACCACATTTTAACCTTAGTGTTAATTGAGATATAGAGTGGGATTCCTGTTAGATGGAATGATTGTATTAAATGACATATACCATTAAGAAATGTTTATCGATATTGTCCACCCCCTCTTGCAGCCTAAACACAACCCTGATTTAAGCCTAAATCTTAAATTGTACCTTCTGCAGTTTAAATAACATCCTGTGTTTATATCATGAAAAGGGACAAGGAGAGACTCTCTGCAACCCAGGAGGATGTCGGAGGTGGAATGAAAACATTGTTGAAGCACGTGAAATCTCCTGCTGGTCTGTTTACGGCATCGTGTCTCCTGCTGCTTCCAATCATCTTTATCCTGCGTCGCTATTCTGGGGCAAAGTTCTCTTTTAAACCAAGACAATGAATCTAAAAAGCAATAAGGTACTTAGATATTAAAAAGAAGGCTTGATGTCATTTTACCATACTAGGAAAAATATTGTATTTTTACTCTAATATATACTCACTTATGTATTCACATATTTTTCTAAAATCTGCCTGTGACTGGTTTTTTTTTGTACTGCACAGTTACCTTCTTGTTGCATTTGGGGTGACTTATTACTGAACTCCAACTGTAACTTTTGGTCTGGTTCTATATGTATTTATTTAATTTTAATTGGTCTAATGCTTGTAAAAATGTGCCTGGTTTAGGAAACTATCTGAAGCCAAGTATGAAAGGAGCTGGAGGGACTTACAAAAGAGGTTATTGACTGTTACAGTGGCTCTTTTTAGGGTTCGTTGAGCTCCGTCAATAAGGCATTTATCCTCTCTCTGTTTGAGAGTCTTTAAGCATAACTCTTCATCCCAGTCTGTCCCTTCGTAAATATCTTGTAGGTAAAGTGTGATTTCCTACGATCAAAAGAATAAATACAGAAACAAAGCTATCACTATACCACATGCAATGTCCTATTGGATTCAATATATTACAGGGATACAGGGAAATTGTAGCTTAATTACCTCTATAATATCTGATGTGGGATAAGGTGAGAGAAAGGCATCAACACATGATGTTCTTTCTGTGATGAGTGCTCAGAGACAACAATTCACGTTTTGGAGGAAATTGGGTTTAATGTGGGTAAAATAAAATAAAAATAAAAAACAACTTCTGAATGTTTCCTTACTTTTATTCATGCAATAATTATCACGTGTTTTTATTGGCTATGTAGTGACTGTAGACAGCAGCATTAGTTTATTCATATGTTATGACACAGTCAATAGTTATTGTGGGTAGGCTTTGTGAGGACACGTGATATGAAGAATTAGTGTATGAAATTAGTAATACAGAACTTATTGTAAACTGTCAGCTGATCTGTGCTATGAGTCAGTTTTTGCTTTCATTTGAAGTTGGCCAAATTTCGTATGCCCCAAAATTCCTTTTATGCCAATATTTGTCTTTTTTTTCTTTTTTATAAAACGAAAATGAAACAATCTGAGAAAAGATAGGGTTGGATTCCCACTATCTTCTTATAGTTATACGTTTTGTTGTAAGTTTGCTGTATGTGTAACATCACCATGGAGACAAACACAAGAGGAAACGTCTAATATAAAATGATTCAGGTGCTGCAGTTTCATATATAAATCACTGTTCAAAGATAATATGACAAGTGAATTTTAAATTCAGAAATGGCATTAATGCCCATAAATCAATTGTATTGCGTTTAATTCAAATACACATATTTATAAACTGACATATTCACACAAATAGTATGAATGTAAAATTGCCAGGTTGGACATCAGAGTAATAATAATTAGATTAATAAGAGTCCACCTGCTATACATACAGTGCTGCAGACACTATATAGATACAGTATGTGCAGTGGTAGATAAAGTACTCAGCTTCTTTACTAGAATTACAAATATGTTAAAATATTAGATCTCAAGTAAAGTCCTGATGAAAATACAAAATAAAGTAAATGTTATTTTCATCAGGAAAATGTACTTGTACTTCTTGAAGTTAAATGGGCCTGTGATTGTTTATTATTATTGATTCATCAATATGTAAGCAGCTTGTTACTTAACTTATTTTTGTAATAAATGTTTTACTGAGATTGTTGATACTGGAGAAAATGAATATCTCATCATGCATTAACCAAAATTCAACAGAAAACAAGAAATCAAAGGTATTTTCCACGTGTCCGATTAAAATTATTACAATTATGAAAAGAAAAAACAGCAAATTCTCACATTTAAGAAACCTGAACAAGAAACATTGGCATTTTTTTGGCAATCGATTAATCAACTGATCATTTGAACTCTACTTGTATATTATGTTGGGTAAAAGAAATGGTCATACTTCATAAGCTCTTCACATGTGTTGGATGTAAAACTATGTAATAATCTGAAATGTAGAGGAGTATTAGTACCCCATTACAGTTACTCAAATGTACTTAGTTACATTCCATCACTGTAATCCTGTTCTCCATTTCTGTTATCAGAGATTCCCACAAATACACAACTACATAAGTAGACACATGGACAGAGAGCGTCAACACTATTTCAGGGAGGTAAGCTGTGTCCGACCAGCAGGGGGCGCCACAGGCCTACCTGCAGAGGGTGCACCTGAGGAGTAGACCTATAGTATCTCACAAAAGTGAGTACAGCCCTCATATTTCTGCAAATATTTCATTATATCTTTTCATGGGACAACACTGAAGAAATGACACTGATACAATCTAAAGTAGTCAGTGTACAGCTTGTATAACAGTTTAAATTTACTGTCCCCTCAAAATAACTCAACACACAGCTATTAATGTCTAAACCGCTGGCAACAAAAGTGAGTACACCCCTTAGTGAAAATGTCCAAATTGGGCCCAATTAACCATTTTCCCTCCCCGGTGTCATGTGACCCGTTAGTGTTACAAGGTCTCAGGTGCGAATGGGGAGCGGTGTATTAAATTTGGTGTTATCGCTCTCACACTCTCTCATACTGGTCACTGGAAGTTCAACATGGCACCTCAGGGCAAAGAAGAACATGGCCTAGGCTATAAGAAGTTTGCCAACACCCTGAAACTGAGCTGCAGCACGGTGGCCAAGACCATACAGCGGTTTAACAGGACAGGTTCCACTCAGAACATCCCTCGCCATGGTCGACCAAAGAAGTTGAGTGCACATGCTCAGCATCATATTCAGCGGTTGGCTTTGGAAAATAGACGTATGAGTGCTGCCAGCATTGCTGCAGAAGTTGAAGGTGTCAGGGGTCAGCCTGTCAGTGCTCAGACCATACACCACACACTGCATCAAATTGGTCTGCATGGCTGTTGTCCCAGAAGGAAGCCTCTTCTAAAGATGATGCACAAGAAAGCCTGCAAACAGTTTGCTGAAGACAAGCAGACTAAGGACATGGGTTGGACTGGCTAAAGAAGCCGAGGGTCAAGGTGATGGACTGGCCAAACATGTCTCCAGACCTAAATCCTATTGAGCATCTACGGGGTATCCTGAAAACAGAAGGTGGAGGAGCGCAAGGTCTATAATATCCACCGGCTCCGAGATGTTGTCATGGAGGAGTGGAAGCTCTGGTGATCTCCATGCTCAAGAGGGTTAAGGCAGTGCTGGAAAATAATGATGGCCACACAAAATATTGACACTTTCGGCACAATTTGGACATTTTCAATTAGGGGTGTACTCACTTTTGTTGCCAGCAGTTTAGACATTAATGTCATTAAGTTATTTTTAAGGGAACAGTAAATTTACACTGTTATACAAGCTGTACTACTTTACATTTTATCAAAAGGTCATTTCTTCAGTGTTGTCCCATGAAAAGAAATATTTGCAGAAATGTGAGGGGTGTACTCACGTTTGTGAGATACTGTATGTTGGATTATCAGGATTAATACTTTAGAGGGAACTTAATCATAGTATGAAGTTTACATTCAGACTATTTGTATGCAGTCAGTTTACAAGTGTGTGTGTTTAAATTGTCTGCAATACAACTGATTTACATACAGATATATAATTAATATTCATTATAAATTCAAAATGTTTGTCATATTGTCTTCAAACAGGGATTTATATATGGAACTGCAGCACCTGAATCATAGATTTTCTTCTTGTGTTTGTCTCTTAATGGATGAATCTCTGTTCCAAATGACACAAACGACACCACAAATGTTACTACAGTAGATTTTATTCTCACAGAATAATCCAACAGAGGATGTAAATTAAATCTGTTCCATCAAACTGATTATAAGTTATTCTATTAGTTATAAACCCATAACAATAAGTTCCACATAAACAGTGATTGAGGATTAAACTGTAGAAAGAGTGGCAGCTGCAGCAGAAATGTTTCCATCCCACCTCAGATGATAAACTTCAGGACTGCAGAGACTCTTGTTCCTTTAACTGAAACACAGAACATTATTTTAACTGCATACAGAAGGTACAGTAAGATTTTATCTGCAAGAGGAGGTGGACAATATGGAAATATTTCTATCCTGGAATATGTGATTATATATCAGGATAATATATAATGTTTTATGGAAACTAATTTGAGAATCTCTTTAAAGATAAAACAAATTGGAGATAATGTACTGATATTACAATTATCTATAAATAAATAAGTCCAGACATTGGAACCGGTGATAAAGTCATTAATAAGAAAGAACAGAAATGAATACATGAAGAAGGCAGTATCATACCCTGATGCAATAATTAAGTCTAAGGGTTCAACAGAAAAATGCAATCTTTATATGGAACATGAATCCCACTCCGTTATATCAATTAACACTCATAATGAAAATATCACAAAGAACTCTTTAGTTATTCAGACAATATCCCATAAGGCTTCTTGAGCTGCAGTGTCAGTGTGGATACAACATATACAAGTGACAGAAAAGATGAATGTAACTAAACTAAAGAGGTTTTAATGATGTTCACAGCTTCATCAATATGTTATGTGTGAAAGAATCTTTATGAGGTTAACAGATTATACTTACAGACATTCCATCAACACCTCCCTGCAGAAAGTGATAAACAGTGTTATGAAACTCCTTCATCAGTATGAAAATAAACATTAAAAACTAAAGAAACAGGATTTCAAATATGAGAACAGTGAGTGGAAAAAGACAAAAGAGCTTCTACATGTAATGTGTGTCTGGACTAAATGTTGATAAATGAATCAACATTTTAATGTCATTAAATGGGGGCTCGTCCGGGATTTTAACCGTTAAAGGATTAAACCCATATATAAAAGTAAACATGAATTATTATTAGATTATTTTAGGACAATAGGAACATTATGAGGGTTATATATTATAATATTTACTGTTGTTGATCTTCAATAAAGTTTATTGAATTTCAGTGTCAGTGTGGATACAACAGATACAAGTGACAGAAAAGATGAATGTAACTAAACTAAAGAGGTTTTAATGATGTTCACAGCTTCATCAATATATTATGTGTGAAAGAATCTTAATGAGGTTAACAGATTATACTCACACATAAGTATCATCATCTGAGGAAGAAGCGTTGCCTGACCTGCAGAAAGTAATAAACAGTGTTATGAAACTCCTTCATCAGTATGAAAATAAACATCAAAAACTAAAGAAACAGGATTTCAAATATGAGAACAGTGAGTGGAAAAAGACAAAAGAGCTTCTACATGTAATGTGTGTCTGTACTAAATGTTGATAAATGAATCAACATTTTAATGTCAGTAAACACTTCTTTTTAGGAGAGGAGTGTCTTTCTTTAAAATGTTTACCTTCGGTCCTACCAGCCTGTTCACCACCTACTATAATCTCATTATGTGTCTAATTACAGTGATTGGAGCTTCAAATACAGGAGATGGTTACCAATATAACACATTTCATAGAGAAAGTTTTACTAACTAATAATCATTGTTTATTGTCCCAGACTGGATAATCAGACTGATTTCTCTTCTCTTTTTATAGTAGTTTCCTCACTTTAACATGAATTATTATTAGATTATTCTAGGACAACAGGAACATTATGAGGGTTATATATTATAACATTTACAGTTGTTGATCTTTAATAAAATAAAGTTGATTGAACTTCAGTGTCAGTGTGGATACGACAGATACAAGTGACAGAAAAGATGAATGTAACTAAACTCAACAGGTTTTAATGATGTTCACAGCTTCATCAATATATTATGTGTGAAAGAATCTTTATGAAGTTAACAGATTATACTCACTTTTTCTTCAACTTCTTCCTGCAGAAAGTAATAAACAGTGTTATGAAACTCCTTCATCAGTATGAAAATAAACATCAAAAACTAAAGAAACAGGATTTCAAATATGAGAACAGTGAGTGGAAAAAGACAAAAGAGCTTCTACATGTAATGTGTGTCTGAACTAAATGTTGATAAATGAATCAACATTTAAATGTCAGTAAATGGGGGCTCGTCCATGATTTTACCCGTTAAAGGATTGATCCCATATATAAAAGTTAATATTCATTATTATTAGATTATACTAGGACAACAGGAACATTATGAGGGTTATTTATTATAATATTTACTGTTGTTGATCATCAATAAAGTTCATTGAACTTCAGTATCAGTGTGGATACAACAGAAACAATTGACAGAAAACATGAAGGTAAATAGAGCGAAGCCTGCAAGCTAGTTCAGGCCGTCAACTCGAGCTGCGCTGATTACACACATGACATGCCTTATTCCATAATCACTAACCAAGCGCTCCCTTCCAATCTGGCAGTCTATTTAAACTGCACAATTACCCAGCTTTCCCTCTGCTCTGTTAATGCCGCTGTTGCCCCGCATCTGTATTGCTGCTGCTCTGTAAGCCCCACCACCACCCCAGCATCCACCTGTAGGCTCCGACTGGGGGTTAAGGTATTTTGGCATCACTCCCCAATATCTCATGTAAACATATCTGTGGGGAGTGATGAGGTCGGAGCCTAGACGCCAAAATCTAAATATGCTATACTGCTTCAATAAACATTTCAAACTTCAGTTGGTTGACTGAACTAAACTAAAGAGGTTTTAATGATGTTCACAGCTTCATCAATATATTATGTGTGAAAGAATCTTTATGAGGTTAACAGATTATACTCACTGTCTTTTCTTCTCCTCCTTCCTGCAGAAAGTAATAAACAGTGTTATGAAACTCCTTCATCAGTATGAAAATAAACATTAAAAACTAAAGAAACAGGATTTCAAATATGAGAACAGTGAGTGGAAAAAGACAAAATAGCTTCTACATGTAATGTGTGTCTGTACTAAATGTTGATAAATGAATCAACATTTTAATGTCAGTAAACTCTTCTTTTTAGGAGAGGGGTGTCCTTCTTTAAAATGTTTACCTCCGGTCCTACCAGCCTGTTCACCACCTACTATAATCTCATTATGTGTCTAATTACAGTGATTGGAGCTTCAAATACAGGAGATGGTTACCAATATGACACATTTCATAGAGAAAGTTTTACTAACTAATAATCATTGTTTATTGTCCCAGACTGGATAATCAGACTGATTTCTCTCCTCTTTTTAAAGTAGTTTCCTCTACTTCTCACTTTAACATTCATTATTATTAGATTATTCTAGGACAACAGGAACATTATGAGGGTTACATATTATAATATTTACTGTTGTTGATCTTCAATAAAATAAAGTTCATTGAACTTCAGTGTCAGTGTGGATACAACAGATACAAGTGACAGAAAAGATGAATGTAACTAAAGAGGTTTTAATGATGTTCACAGCTTCATCAATATATTATGTGTGAAAGAATCTTCATGAGGTTAACAGATTATACTCACTGTGCTTTCTCCAACTCCTTCCTGCAGAAAGTAATAAACAGTGTTATGAAACTCCTTCATCAGTATGAAAATAAACATTAAAAACTAAAGAAACAGGATTTCAAATATGAGAACAGTGAGTGGAAAAGACAAAAGAGCTTCTACATGTAATGTGTGTCTGTACTAAATGTTGATAAATGAATCAACATTTTAATATCATTAAATGGGGGCTCGTCCGGGATTTAATCCGTAACGGATAAAATCCTGGACGAGCCCCCATTTAACGGTAAAAGTGATGAGGTCGGAGCCTAGACGGCAAAATCTAAATATGCTATATTGCTTTAATATACATTTCAAACTTGAGTTGGCTGACTGAACTAAACTGAAGAGGTTTTAATGATGTTCACAGCTTCATCAATATATTATGTGTGAAAGAATCTTTATGAGGTTTATACTCACTGTTTTTTCTTCATCTCCTTCCTGCAGGAAGTAATAAACAGTGTTATGAAACTCCTTCATTAGTATGAAAATAAACATTAAAAACTAAAGAAACAGGATTTCCATAGTGAGGTTGTGAGTGTGTATAAGTAATAAGGGGGTTCAGCACCTCTGAGCTTCAGTCTGGTGGCCATGTTGTTCACGCTGAGAGGTTTCAGGAAGATTGACCTTTTTCTCAGACTCCTTACGCTGACTCATTGTAAGCTGCAAAGAAAATGAGTTGACATAATGTTGGTGTTAATAAGTGGAAATCCATTCTGACTAATAAAATCTTTCTTTACTTCTTCACTAAACTGAGCACTGAGCTCAGTAACAGGAAAATATTCTCCACACAAAGTCTCTGATACACTTTTAAATGCAGAATGTCTCTCTGGATGGGAGGACGAGTGAGTGCATTTAAAGAGGAACTAGAGCTGTAATTATCTCCCCACCTCCCTTTGGAAATGGGGTTATTAAGTGCACTGACTGTGGTGGATATACTGCAGTTTGTGACACAATTATAGATAGATAGATAGATAGATAGATGGATAGATGGATAGATTGACTTTTTGACAAGTACAGAACCAGCCTTCTCGATGATTTTATCAAGTCTGTTGGTGTCGCTGGCTCTGATGCTGCTGCTGCTGTCCCAACACACAGCAGCAAAGAAAATGGTTCTGGCAACAACAGGCTGGTAGAAGATCTTCCCCTTCTTGTACACAGCCTCGGTGTTAGATTTCCAGTCCAGTCTGTCTAACCCTAACCCTATCTATAGTCCTCCACAACCTCCCCCCTGATCCGTAGTGGCTGTGAAGGCCTCCTCTTCTTCCTACCGAAGTCGATCACCATCTCTCTGGTCTTGTTGACATTCAGCCTCAAGTGATTCTGTTCGGACCACTCTACAAAGTTGTCTACCAGTGTCCTGTAATCACACTCATCTCATCCTGGGTGAGATGACATCAGGGCCTGCAGCCTTTCGCTGATGCAGTTTTTCCAGCTGCCTCTTTACCTGGCCTGTAGTCACCGTTGGGCGGGGGGTTGGTGCAGATGTCATCAGTGGAGGAGGAGGAGGGGATGGGGGGGAAGGAACAGAGGGCAGATGGAGAGGTGTTGTACAGCAGAGTGCTGGGGGGAGGGTTGAGCCATTTGGGACAGTGTGAGTCTGTAGGGGGCTGGGGATGCCAGATGGGCAGCAGGAGGTGAGCTAAACCTGCTGAAAAACTGGTTATACTGGTTAGCTCTATCCAGGCTCCCAGATGTCTGCCTGTCTTTCCCCTTCATCCCTGTGATGTGCTTCATGCCCGCCCACACATTCCTCACACTGTTCTGTTGGAGTTTGGCCTGCAGCTTTCTCCTGTAGTTGTCCTTGCACGTTATAAGTAGTCTTACAGACATTAAACACTTTAAGGAACTGTCAATTCTGTGAACTCACATGTAATCAAACTAGTAGTTTAACTACATTTCGCAGTAGCTTGCTGGTAGTTTGACTACTTTCATATTTACACACCAAATCGCTGAGTTATTTTGCTTCCTTCCATTTTTCTGTGTAGTAAATTATTGAAATTAATTATTTTTAACAATTTCAAGAAAATGCTTATGTCTTTTAAACAAGAGATTCTGTTGTGATAAGTAAAAAGATATTTGTCCATTGTTTCTGTTGGAGTTCCCATATGGGACTGACTTGTTTTCGTCTCGGGTTCCATTCCTTGGTGCTCGATTGTCAACTGTGAGGAACATTTAGCTATAAAGCAGTTTTAAATCTTTTGAATCTAAATTGATATTTGTATTAGTGGCATCGTGACTTTTTTGTTTGATATTGTGATATGATTTAGTCGAGTTTTGTCCAGTTTTTGGCTCTGGTAAACCACAGAAACAACTGTCAAAAACAGATTTTAGTGTTGAAGCGAACAAAAATAACTATTTTAATTCTGGTTTCCTTGTTTCCTTGTTTCATCACTCTTCCTTAGATGAAACAATAAAGAAAAACGCATTAATTCTATTGTATTGGCTGTGTACGAAACTTACAACATTAACTGATTACAGTGATGATACACAGACCCTGATGATAGGTTGAATTAAAGTATAGAAAGAATATAGTTACTTTACCTTTAGATGGTGAAAAACACAGCGTCACAGGTACAGGACACACTGTTCATCTGCACTGAGACACCAGGTATGTATACAAGCATATATGAACACAGACACACCCTGATTTAGTTCAGCCCCCACAGCAACATACTGACAGGTTGAGGGGCTGACAGAACAAACCAAACAGGTTCTGAAATATTATTTATTCTCTCTATCCAACAGGCAGCTGCACAACCTTTATGTGTGTATGTGTAACTGAGTACATTCACCCAAGTATTGTAATCAAGAACAATGCTGAGTGTTTTCTTTTCATTCATGCTGGTCACTGCAACCCAGTACCCTAAAGTAAGACACACACACATGCAACAAACCCTCTTTTCCTGTTCCTGCTGTTTGGTTGATATTTAACAGTTTATGTGATTAGCAACAGTGCACACATGTAATGCAGTCAGTAGTTATAAAGGATAAGACAGGTAATGGTAAAAGATTTTTAAAAAAGTATTAAAGATTGTCCATCTTATGTCTTGTTGATTGTTTCTTTTATGTCTGTTAAATTGTTGATTGTTTATTTTATGTCTTTTCTATTTATAGAACAGTTATTTTATTGCCTTTTGCACCGTGGGTCCGAGAGGACTGTAATTTCATTTGTGCTGTATGTCGTGCATGTATAGCACATCTGACAATAAAGATGACTAGACTTGACTTAATTATACATTAGAGGGGGAGGGGTGTTTTGTTTCTGTTCAGGGTCTAGTCTGTTCAAGCACCCTTTTTAAAAAGGAAACATGTTTTAAGGTTGACTTAAATGTATTTGTAGTTGTTAACATGTTGGATAAGGTATTGTCTTTGTGAATGGTTTGAATGATGTAATTGATACAGTCTTTTTAATAGAGGGAGCCAGCAGGATAAAAGGGGGCCTGTGGCTGATCTGGACTGACAGAGAAAGACAGACAGACCCCCACAGACCCTAGCTCCTGCCCTGAGCCTATTTAATGTTTAAAATGAACAACTGGCAGATGTAGGACATATTCTGTAAATAAATGTGGAATAAATAACTCTTACTGAGGTGTGTGTGAGTGCTGGTGGCTGTCTGACAGCCTCAGAGCTGTTTGTCATTGTTCAGATGTTGCACTTACCGACCAGGCAAACCACAGGAAACACAAGATAAAGGTTTGTTCAAACTAAGTTTATAATACAGATAGTATTGACCTATAAACATACACTTTAGTTTTACACTGTGATTATGTTTCCTTTATTGTCTGAACAAAGTGTTTTATTATAGATTTCTACATTCCAACTGGCTGAACAACATTTGTGGACACAAAGGCAAATATGAAAGCATTCCATGCAGATGAGCTGGTTTTGGGGTTGTGGTGTTGGTGGTACATTCTGGCTCACTGTCATGGCTTACTGGGAATGTTGCACTCCCACTAAAAGGGATGCAGTCAGAGTGCTCATAGGTTGTTCACACTGTGTCACAAAACATGTTCCCATATGGGACTGACTTGTTTTGGTCTTGGGTTCCATTCCTTGGTGCTCGATTGTCAACTGTGAGGAATATTTAGCTATAAAGCAGTTTTAAATCTTTTGAATCTAAATTGATATTTGTATTTGTGGCATTGTGACTTTTTTGTTTGATATTTTGATATGGTTTAGTCGAGTTTTGTCGAGTTTTTGGCTCTGGTAAACCACAGAAACAACTGTCTAAACAGATTTAGTGTTGAAGCAAAACAAAATAATATTTTATTTTAGGTTTTCTTGTTTCCTTGTCATCACTCATCCTTAGATGAAACAATAAAGAAAAACGCATTCATTTTATTTTATTGGATGCATACGAAACTTACAACATTAACTGATTACAGTGATGATACACAGACCCTGATGATAGGTTGAATTAAAGTATAGAAAACATGTAGTTACTTTACCGTTAGATGGTGAATAACACAGCGTCACAGGTACAGGACACACAGGAGTGAAACCTGTTCATCTGCTCTGAGACACCAGGTTGGTATACAAGAATATATGAACACAGTCACACCCTGATTTAGTTCAGCCCCCACAGCAACATACTGACAGGTTGAGGGGCTGACAGAACAAACCAAACAGGTTCTGAAATATTATTTATTCTCTCTATCCAACAGGCAGCTGCACAACCTTTATGTGTGTATGTGTAACTGAGTACATTCACCCAAGTATTGTAATCAAGTACAATGTTGAGTGTTTTCTTTTCATTCATGCTGGTCACTGCAACCCAGTACCCTAAAGTAAGACACACACACATGCAGCAAACCCTCTTTTCCTGTTCCTGCTGTTTGGTTGATATTTAATCCAACAGTTTATGTAATTAGCAACAGTGCACACAAGTAATGCAGTCAGTAGTTATAAAGGATAAGACAGGTAATGGTAAAAGATTATACAGTAGAGGGGAGGGGGGTGTTTTGTTTCTGTTCAGGGTTTAGTCTGTTCAAGCACCCTTTTTAAAAAAGAAACATGTTTAAAAAGGTTGACTTAAATGTATTTGTAGTTGTTTACATGTTGTATAACGTCATTTTTTTTTTTTTTGTTTTTTTTTTTTTTTTTTTTTTTTTTTTTTTAAAAGGGGGGGGGAGGAGGAAAGAGGGGGGGGGGGGGGGTTGTGGGAAAAAAAAAAAAAAAACAAACCCCCCCACACCCCCCCCCCTCCCCCTTTAAATTTTTAAATTTAAAAAAAAAAAGGGGGGGGGTGTGGTTTTTTTTTTAAAAATAAATTTGTAATATTTTTTTTTTTTGGGGGGGGGGGGGGGGGGGGGTGTGTGTCGGCCAGGGTTTTTTTTTTTTTTTTTTGGTTTTTTTTTGCCCGGCCAAACCAAAGGAAAAAAAAGAAAAAGGTTTTTTTTAAAAAAATTAATTTAAAAAAAAAATTTTTTTTTCCAAAAAAAAAATTTTTTTTTTTTATTTTGTTTTTTTTTCTTTTTTGTTTGAAAAAAGGGTTTTTTTTTAATTTTTTTTTTCCCAACTGGGGGAAAAAAATTTGGGGGGAAAAAGGGGGAAATAAGAAGGGTTTGTTGGGGGGGGGGTTGGTTTGGGGGGGGGGGGGGGGTGGGTGTGGTGGGTCCCTTTTTTGGGTTTTTGGGGGAGGTTTACTCGCACTGAAAGGGATAAAGTCAGAGTGCTCATAGGTTGTTCACACTGTGTCACAAAACATGTTCAGAGCATAAAGAAAAGCTACAGGAAACTTATTTTCAAAAGAGGTAAAACGAGGCTCAACCACATTTCTTCATAACTTAAATATGTCTAGTTTTTTTAAATGGATAGTTGTATGCAAACATTTTCCTGCAAACTCAGTATATTTGGCTGCTTTGGACCCTCCCCAAAACTGAAAATAGTGAAAATGTAGACTTCTCCAGAAGGAATAGTGTCTGCTTTATTTCACATCTCTGAAAATAATTATCACAATGTCACCAAACTGGGGCTGGATGTTCACAGACAGTTATTGCATACAATAAAGCAAAGACTTCATCAATACCTTTATTTTAAATAATAAATAAAGATAAAACTCCAAAAGGTATGTAAATGTATGTGTGTCATTATTAAAGTATGGAGATCAATCACCAGAGTAGATCATCTGACTATTCAGTCCACCGCGAACAGGTAACGAGTGCAGACAGCGCTTCAAAAAGATAAATACAATGAGCAGTGTAAATACAAAGGGTTATGTAAATGTGTGCACAGGACAAAAACCATAAGACATTAAACTATATTAATTAGCTCCAGAAAACCTGAGTCTCTCAGATCTTTTACACCACGTAGCACCTCATAAAATATTATGACTGATGGTAAAATACGGCAGCGCAGGCCGACCCAATTCAGCTATGGACAAGGAGCCGGTTGAAGAACCAGATCTAATTTGGTGGAAAAGGGGTCCTCCTGGTCCACTCTTCTCTTCCCAATAGTTCTTGTTTGGAGCCACAATCTCATTGTTTTTTAACCATTCATTTTATCTCTGTGTATCTGTGGAGCGATTCTCTTATTGTTAGTATACATACACAGTATACATATACATATCTTCTGTGTTTTGTGTTTATTGATGCTTATTTTACTAAGAATCCAGCCATTAATCAGAACCATGGGTTTCACTGATTTACCTGGAAGACTGCAGCATGTTTATATCATAGAGCTTTTGATGAGTTTCAGTTTTAGTTTTTGTGCTCAGTGAAACAAAAGATTTGTCAGTGGAAGCAGATCATAGTGTTAAAGTGGAAGTAATAAAATCACAGAATAACTGAATGTTATTAATTTAATCTCCCATAAAGAACACATTCATTTTCTTTTTTGGGACGCCTATATAACAAACAAACAAACAAACAAACAAACAACAAACTTCAGACCCCTTTTAAGTTTTTAAGTTGTTCATATTGAGAACCAAAGAGATCATTGTGTACTAAAGAAAAACTAACTGTGTCACACACACCCCCATCCGTATCAGTGGAACCGAGGTTCAGCTTGTTGTCTCCAACTTCAGGTTACTGGGTGTCCACATCTGTGAGGACCTGAACACCTCAACCCTGGTCAAGAAGGCTAACCAGCTCTTCTTTTTGAGGAGACTGAAGAAGGCCCATCTGTCTCCTCTGATTCTGGTGAACTTCTACCGCTGCACCATCGATAGCATCCTTACCAACTGCATCACAGTCTGGTATGGAAACTGCTCTGCCTCGGACCGGAGAACTCTGCAGACGGTGGTGAAAACTGCCCAGGGAATCACCGGTTAACCTCTCCTCACCATTGAGGCTGTCCAGAGCGAGCGGTGTCTGAGGAAGGTGTGCAGCATTGATTGCTAGGGACACCTCCCACCCAGGACACAGACTGTTTGTCCTCCTCCCCGTTGGGAGGCGCTACAGGTCTTTCCGTTCCCAAACCAGCAGGATCAGGAACAGCTTTTTCCCATCAGCTGTCAAGCTGCCAAACTCTGCATCGAGGAGACCCCCCTTCCCCCTGAACTCCCACTAAACTGTCTTTCTTTAGTGTATTGTTGTATATTAAGTAGCGATGATGTGAAGATGTGTTGAAGAGAAGTCCGCTGACACCATCTTGATTGTATATAAAGGTTTATTACAAAAAGGTACAGCATCATTTCAAGCCCCGGGAGCTTGGAGAGCATCCAGCCAAATTAATAACTATCTGTTTGCGTCGAACATAGGTTTAT